GTTCTTCTGTAAATGTCTGTTAAATCTACTTGATCTGTAGTGTGATTTCTGTTCATTCATCTTTGCTGACAGGCTCTCACTGTCTCTCAGGCTGGCCTCAAACTCACAGATCCTCAGGCTCTGCCTTGCCTTTTATGTGCTGGGGTCACAAGTGTGTGACACCATACCTGGCTTATGCACTGCAGTTTAGCTTTGATGTTACCTAATTTGCTCTTCCTCTTTTGATTCTAATTGGTAGTTTTGTTAAGTATAGCAATGTTGGTTGGCATTTATTTTCTCTGAGGACTTGAAATATATCATTCCACAGCCTCCTATCCCATAGGACTTCTACTTAGGAAATGTGCTATTGCCTTAATGGGGTTGCTTTTAAGCGACTTGGCATTTTTTCTCTCCTGGCATTTAAAACGATCTGTTCTGTACTTTTGGCAATTTGACTGTCAGGGTGAGGATCTTTTCTGGTTGTGTCTATTTTGGAGTTCTATAGGTTTCCTGTGCCTAGAAATGCGTGCCATTCCAAAGACTAGTTGAGTTTCCCATTACAGTTTATTGACTAGGGTTTTCCATGCCCCTTGCCTTGAATTCTTTCCATTTGTTTATACTGATCTGCAGATTGGTCATTTAATGGTGTTCATGTGTGCTTTCTTCATTCATTTTCCCCACCACCCCCTACTTCCATGCTGCTTTGAAAGCTTATTTTCAAGCTTTGTCACTCTTCCTTATTTAATCCAGTCTGTTGTTTGTACTTCCAATGAACTTTTATGATATATAGAATTTTCTGGTTTTAAGATTTTTTTTAAAATCACATCTTTATAAAAAATTCTTATTTCTTGCTGTATTCTTATTCATATCTGTCTTTGTGTTTCATTTTAACTATTTGTATTTTGTTTGATCTCATTGACCTTTTCAAACAATCATTCTTTTGAATTCTTTAGCAGACATTTTAATATCTTGAGAGTCATGATTTAGTAGGTGTCATATTAGTGTTTTTTTTCATTTTTGTGGGTTTTAATGTGAAGTTTATACATCTGGTAAAATGACTCTCTCTCCTACCTTCATTGGCAAGGCCATCTTAGTAAGTGGATTTCTCTAAAAGAGGTGTCTTAGTGTGTCAATCTGACATACAATGTTGAGTTTACTAATAATCTCATATCATAGTTATTCCCATGGTTTGATTAGTGACTTGGAGCACAAGCTGCTATCATGTTGGAGTTTGACAGTGTGCTAGATTTTTTTTTTTTTTTTTGTCTCTCTGACAAAAAAACCTGAGTGAAACCACTGGGTAAAGAAAGGACATGTTTTCGATATAGTTTCAGGGCTTTTAGTTCATAGTCGGCAGAGTCCATTGTTCCCAAGCCCGTGTGAGACAAAACATTCTGGTGAAAATGCGTGGTGGGACAGAGATACTCACCTATGGACAACCAAGAAACAGGAGTAATAGAGAGGGGCCAGGGTAGATATAGACTCTGTAAAGACATGCCCTGTGACAGTTACCTAGAAGAGGGAACCTCAGCTAAGAAATCCTTTACATCATATTGGCCTGCAGACAAATCTGTGGGGTATTCTCTTAATTAGTGTTAATGTGGAAGGTCCCAGTCCTCGTGAGCAGTGCCACCCCTGGGCAGGTGGTCCTGGGTTGTATAAGAAAGTATGGTGAATAAGCCAGTAAGTGTTCTTTCATGATCTTTGCTTCAGGTCCCACCTTAGCTTCCATCGATGATAACTCATGTGAAAGTGTATGCCTAATAAACTCTTTACTCTTCCCAGTAGCCTTTGGTCATGGTTATTACAGCAACCGAAACCTAACTAGAATACCCATGATTCACTTCTCCAAGGATACCTCACCTTCCATAGTCCTATAACTTCCTGCACTCTATTCAAATTCTGAATCCATGAATGGGTTAAACATTTGATGAGTGTCTTAGGGTTACTATTGCTGTGAATAGGCACCATGACCATGACAACTGTTATAAAGGAAAATATTTAATTGGTGCTAGGTTAGTTTCAGAGGTTTAGTTCATTATTGTCATGGTGGGGAAACATGGTGGCATGCAGGCAGACATGGTGCTGGAGAAAGAGATGCGAGTTTTACATTCTGATCTGCAGGCAACAGGAAGTGAACTGTGTGCCACACTGGGCTTGAGCGTAGGAGATCTCAAAGCTTACCCCAACAGTGACAGACTTTTTCCCAACAAAGCCACACTTCCTAATAGCGCCATCCCCTATGGGGGCCATTTTCTTTCAAACCACCAGTCATGCTGGTTGATAAAGCCCTCATGCTCTGTCAGTTCTGGGAAATGTTCTCACAGACATACCTGGAGGTGTGCCATACTTATTTCTATCTAATCAAATTAACACATAAGATTAGCCATCAGAGGGAAATCACAGATTAAGAGTTGATTTTTATTTGTGTAGCTATTCTAGAAGTTTCGGGATGTGTGCTGTTGGCACCACTATTTGTGCTCCCTTGCAGCTTTCCCATGTGGTACTTAGTATTGGGCTTCCTCAGGCACTGTGACTTGAGTGACTCATGGTATGACTGCCCAACTAGATCCAAGGAGCCTAACACGTTTGTCCTCTGACATTGATGTGGAACCAGGCGCTTAATGAGAAGCAGTGTCAATAATCACAGTACCTGCTCTGTCACGTTCATGAGGTTTCATCAACACCACAGAATTGGCAAGGAGCCAGTGGTCAATGTAAGTGACACACATAAATGTTGATGCAGGACAAATTGTGCATTCTACTGCTGTAGTGGGCTTTTGTGCGCAGGCACAGGGCTTCCCTCCAGCTGTGCATGCCTGTGGGTGGATGGGTGATGGACAAGGTCTTCTGTCTGGTTGGAGCTTTTAGTTTTAATGATCACCAGAACAAGCAGATGTGGGCCACAGCTGGAGCCAGCTGAGCCAGGAGGAGTAGGATGATGATGATATCAGAAATAGTTTCTACCTAGACCTTGTCACTCTGTGCTTTGGAGTTGGGGATACAGGCAGGCCCTTGGCACTAGAAGAAACTCAAGAGATTTTTTTTTTCAATAGCAGGGAGGAGTTGCACCTAAATGAAGCCACACATACAAAGGTCTCAGCAGGCTCCTGCCCCCCCCCCCCCAGTTCTTATGGATGGTACCTTCAGCTTCTTTCTGTGTTGCCACACCCAAACTCCATTATGTAGCACTCAGTGTTAGCTTTCTGATGACTATGACAGAACACCTAACATTAACAGGATAGGACTTACTTACATTTCAGAAAGCACAGTACATGGTCACTGGTTTCTGTGACTGTAGTGAGGCACAGATGGTGGGCATGTGGCAGAGAAGGTTGAGTGAGGAAGGGTGAGGAAGGGTCTGGGAACCATGCATAAAGGTATGCCCCTAGGAACCTACCTTTTCCATCTCCGTCCTATCCTAAATTTCCCACAGTCTCTCCAGATAGTGTCACTAGCTGGTGATCAAGCATGCACTAAATGACCTTGTAGGGGACATTTGATATTCATATCATAACAGTTGGTCTGTGACAGTCACTCCACCAAGTCAAGTCTGGCTCCTGGGAAAACCATCAGCTGAGCCAGTATGGTAGAATGTCTGTGGAATCCTAGAGATGGGATATGCAGGAGTTTGACTCTCAAATCTGTCCAAATTTGGGTACTGTCTCTTTTCAGGATAGGTCTAGGTTGTCGTATTCTGAAAATGCATGTTTATTTCTAAACGCTTTGAATGCCTTCATCCTTCTTCCTTTCCCTTCCCTCTCCATCCCTCCCTCACCCCCTTGTTTGAACAGGTTATTTTAACAGTTTGGTTTGGTAGTCAAATGTTCTTTCTTCCTGTTAAATCCAGTTTGTTGTCGAGGCTCTCTCTCTCTCTCTCTGTCTCAGTCTTACTGAGCTGTTCATTCATAGGCCTCCTCACCCCTGCACCCCTGGCTCTGAAACCAGGGTCATACCATGTCCTACCTTCCTCAATCTTTTAAGATTTCAGTCTCCTGCTCATTTCCAGTATTCAGTCACCCCTGTGCTTCTAAGCACCTGTGACTGATTCTTCTGTGGAGAGAGAAATGAGTACTGGGTCCATCTATTTAGCCACCCTGTGTTCTAAGGATTACTTTAAAAACATTAAAATTTCAAGCAGAAACAAACATGCAAGTCTCTAAGATACTGGATGGAAAATTTGCATTTTCTGGTCAGATACTGATAAGTTCCCCATTGAGAAAGGGGTGCTTTGTTTTAGAAGTAAACTTGTAGTACACTTTTGCTGGGTTTACAACATTTAAAGTTTATTAGTACTGTTCTGAAGTGCATTTAGGGTCCATGTGTGATGGCTCATCTATAGTTCCAGAACTTGAGAGGGTGAGACCAGCCTGAGCTACAGTGCAACCCATTTCCAACAGAACAACCTAAAGAGAATGCTTGTGGTGGTTTGAAAGAAAATGGCTCCCACAGGGAGTGGCTTTGTTGGAGAAAGTATGGAAGAAGCGTGTCACTGCGGAGAGAGCCACACCCAGTGTGACTCACAGTTGCTTCTGCTGCCCGAGGAGCAAGATGTAGGACTCTTAGCTCCTTTTCCCACACCATGTCTGCCTGCATACTGCCATGATGGCAATGGACTAAACCTTTGAAACTGTAAGCCAGCCCCAATGAAATGTTTTCCTTTGTAAGAGTTGCCAAGGCCATAGCATCTCTTCACAGCAAAAGAAACCCCAACTAAGACAGTAACAAAGGCCTGCCATCTATCTTACCAGTGACTCTAGTGCACCTGGCTTGGGAAGTCTGCAGTTCCCCTGGATTTATAGGCTCAGCTCATCTCTAGAAGCTATCTAGGCTGAAACCCTATCTCTAATCTTTTAAGAAAGTCCATGTAACCACAGGCCATGGAAAGTCATTTTAGATATACTCTATGCAGTGGTATATATCCATTATCTAACTTATACTTACCCCGTTGCTGGCAAATCTCAGGAACTGGTTCCCTTAAAAACACTAGTAAGGCAATTGAAACTAGTTAGCCCACAGAATTGTTTGTAAAACTGAATTTATTAAAATGCTCATAATTAAAAAATATTAAAATGCATAGAAATGAACAAACATCAGTTACAAACAATACTGATGCTACATTGCCTGGGAAGCATCATGATTTTCAGCCCCTTCTTAGCTAAGCTGTGCACTGCTTCCACTTCTCGACCATAATGGGAAGGTGAGGAGAGCACAATAAGTGTGTAACCAACACATCACGTTCTGCTGCCAACGAGAGTGTCCTGTGAAACTCACGGCGCATGTGCACTACAAAGAGGAGAACTTGACACACTTGTTACCACATGGCCTTGTTTGATTTCAAGACTAATAAAGGCCTTCTATGTCTAATGGACTATCTAACTGATCTGAGGAACATGTAAAGGAAAATCCCCTGAGTTATTGGGTCTACTGATTCCATTGATTAAGATTCGAAGGCAATATAAACTTTGCTAGTGGTTAACGCTGAACAGGTGGAGAGCCGGATCCTTCCCCCACTGGCCACTGTCATGCCCTTGATGCCCTGGGACTGGGGACTACCTCACTGTGCTGGCAGATGCAGACTGCCACTGCAGGTGTCCCTTGTTCCTCTCCATCACCAACTTGACACAGGCCTCACAGGAATGATACTGATGCCTCGGGATCCAACAGCTCACTGGAACTTAGCCTTCAGCACTCCGGCGGTGTCAGACGCCACACCTGCTCCCTTCGGAAAAGCCGGTTTTGTTTTGTTTTATTTTGTCTGTGTTTTCTTCTCCTGTCCACAGTGGCACTTTCTACACTGTGAAGGGAGTTCTTGGCTGGAGGATACTGATGAATAAATGCACTTTTCACTTGCAGTTTTCTTTGTGCACACAAAGAAAGGAGGAAAAAACAGACGCAAGGCTGATTTCCTTTTCTGTTATGTAAAGTGCGAGTACATCCTTAGGAAATGAGCAAGCATGGGCTCTGGAAAGGAGGTAATATAGTGAGGCACTCCAGGGCAGTCTGAGTGGGGACAGGGAGTGGCACCTGGTGTCAGCTGTGGAGGGAGGCCATCCCCGGTGTGGGGGGAGGCAGTCGTTTATGTCTCAGCACAGGTAGACACTCTATGGCAGCTCCTGGACTCCCAGTACAAGGGAGGTGGGGAAATGTTTCTGCCAACCCACTGGTCTACTTAAAAGCCCAGAACACTGCTTTCTTAATCATGTTGAACACTCTAATACACTGTTCTGGGCGGGCATTTAGAACTGTGGCCCTGAGGAGGTCTCTAAACCTGTTCACTTTCCTTGGGGCTCCTGGGCACCCAGGCATTCCATACCAATCTAGTCAGCAGAGGCCCATCTCAAACTGTGAGGCAGGCCCTCCCTTCTTCACCCAGTACTGACCTCTGTCATCCATCCTCAAGGGTTTGAGGTGTAGCCACGTCTCCTCTAGACGTGCTGGAGGAAAGCTGAGAGCGCATAGGCTGCAGAGCTCAAGAAAACTTTCCAGTGAGCAGCAAAGACGGCAAGGCACCAGTGGGCTAGGGCTGAGCAGCAAGTTACCAGCAGACAAACCAGCCATTCCTTTAACTGCCTGATGGCTGAGAGGAGGCTGGGGGCTCAAACTAAATCCAGGGTCTCCTTCCTCAAATGGCAGTAATCCGGGTAGATTTGTCTCTAGCACAGCTGGGATTACAAATGGGATACTGGACCTAGGAAATGAAGAGATGGCAAGCAAGCTGGTCACTGTGGCAAGCAGAAAGGTCAGTAGGACTCCCAGTGGGTGCAGCTGGCCATGCAAGGTTCACAGGACAGGGCTAGTTGCTGGCTGTTGCTCTGACCACGCCCATTGCTGTCAGGGCACCAACCTTTTCAGCAGACAGGCTGATTGTAGTGCCTTCCTTCCGGGTAAGTCAGTTTGTACACAGTTGATGGGCTTACAGTTCCCAGCCCACTAATGGTGATAACAACACAGTCACAATCATTTGATTATCACTTCCCCAAGAATCTTACATAATCAAGAAGAGGTAAATTAAATGTCCAGATCGGTACATCGCACTCCCTCACGATCTACAGAGCAGTCAATGTTGATTGGGCCCAGAGCATGCTGGGAGTGCTGCTGGAAGGCAGGTGTCCCATGGAGTAACAGGGACAGGCTTCTTTTAATACCCTCTTTCTTCATGCCTATCTAAGGCTGAAATGAAGAAGGACGTTGTTTCTTATACCACGAGGTCTCCTTCCTTAGGGGTGTAGTAAGAGAGACTGAAATACTGTGAACTCTTCAGTATACCTGGCACCTAATATGGCATCCAGACTCAATTCTGAGCTGGCTATTGTTAATAACACAAAAACGATTAAGGCTGAGGTATGCCTGGTCTTTGGTGATGCTACGGTCAGGACGGATGAAATAGGTCTTGGATAGATTTGGCAAAATGCAAAAATTAAGCACAGGAAAGTACTTGAGACCAGACAAAGTCCCCAGGAAGGACTCAAGCAAGCTTCGAGGCTTTTCCTGTTACTGAAATTCCAATTTATCAAAAACAGGGAACATATTCAGGTTTTCCAGGTAGGTAGTTTTATGCCTTTCTTGATCAATGTTTTCCATTTTTCAGTTCCCATATTGCTAGCTGAAACTGAAAACCAATACAGGCAGAAATGGGCACAGTGAAGACTCCCATTTGCCTGAGTGAGTGAACAACATCCTCTCTAGAAATTCGAGACATGCCTGAGAGCTAATTCTTTTTAAAGTGCTTCTCGGGATATATACTCTTCCTCATTCGAGTTTTGGCCGCACACTGTTGTCAACCACCTCTCCCATCCTCTCGGCTATAAGCCCCATATTTTTGGTCAGGTCTTTGAGATGACTCTCATGAAGCAGCTTTTGTGTGAGGTATTTCTCCCTCTTGATCTTGCTCTTCGTGACTTTTGACACATCTGGAATTGCATATGAAATGAAAAACTTCACAGAGTAGATGACATGCTGTTGGGGAGAGAGAAGACAATGTTAGGGGCACCGACTCCTTAAGATTATCCGTGCTTGTCATCTTGGCAGTGTGTCTGGACAGGGCAGATATTGTAGCTCTTCAGTCTCAAGCAACAGGATATAAGGAATGACCTATTAGCATTCAGCTATCCTGTGTTTCTCTGGCACATGGGAAGAAGTGTATCCCTAGTGTGTGCATCCTCACCCATATAATTGCTACTTAGAAAGGGTGAAGAATAAATAATACATCACAAGAGACTGTCTGAGGTCCATCTAGGCTATGTAGTAAGAATAAATAAAAACATGTCCCCTACATCCTCTGCAAGTTACAAAGTCAGGCCACTGACAGTGCTGTTGTATTTTGTATGCTTTTTCATAATTCCCTGTTCCTTTCTCAAAGGTCAATATTATCCTACATGTACTTATAAAGAAAAGTACCAAAATATGTATGTATTCACCGTTAGTAAATTTAGTCTTACTTGATTTGAGCATTATAAAAATAGGTAGTACTTTATAGTCATTTAACAACTATTTTTTGTGTGTTTTCCCTGTATGTATATATGCATGTATGCATACCATGCTTGCACACTGCCTATAGAGGACAAAAGGGGGCATCAGAGCTCCAGGAATGGAGTTAACACACAGTTGTGAGCTGCCTTGTGTTTGCTGGGAACTGTTTCTGAGTCCTTGGCAAAAACAGCAAGTACTCTTAACTGCTGGCCCGTCTCTCCAGCCCTTCCACACAGTCTTTGGAAAAACATCCCTTTTCAATTCAAAACCTGTTTTTAAAATTCTTCACTGCCATTCCCATAGCACATTCAATTCCTTTCACTGTGGTACAATGTTCCTGGTGACTACACTGTAACATATTTCTTTCCCTACTGATAGGCATTGGGCTGCTTTCCAGTTTTCATATTAGCAGTGGTGCCCTTGTGAGTATGTAGATCCTGGAACTATCTCTGTAAGTTTCCAAGGGGGCGCTGCTGAGATACCCGGACAAATGAATGTCCAGTTTTACAAAGTAACAACCTACTTTCCCCCAGCAGTTGCACTGGATTGGCTTGTACCAGGGGCAGCACCTGGGAAGTGTCAGCTGTGCTTCATCCTGTCAGTGCTTGGTGCTAATTTTTTCTCATTTGCAAACAGACCCTCTGACTTTGATCTGGCTTTATATTTCTGTGACTGCTAATGAAGTTAAACTTCATTTGTTACTCACCATCCTAAAGTCCCTTTGGTTATGTTGTATATTTTGGGGGGGGGGTGCAAAAGGGATAGATGAGTTGCATAAAAATACTTAAAAAATGGATTGCGCCTAGTGTCAAAAAGTGCTTAGAGCTTTGGGAGAACCCGGAACAATGCAACCCCACTGAGTGTGACAGGATGCTGGACACATCATAGACACTATGAGGAGTAGTTTGCACATAAATAACTCGTCAGAGGGTTTAAGGGGTGAGGGAACAAATTATGCAGAGACCAGGAAAGCAGAGTCAAAGTAGGGGAAGCTTCCAGGACATGATCTAGAATGGAGAGGCTGAAAGGAAGGAGTGACAGGGAGGATCACAGACATGGCTGGACAGTGTGAGGCCTTGGGTAGAACAGTAGAGACTCTGGCTTTTACTCTGAGGTCAGAACATAGTGGTCTCCAGGCAGAGACCAGGCCCCAGCCAGGCAAGAAATGATGGTGCCTCTGGCCTGGTGGACCTTGATTTCTATAAAGTTTCTCCAAAACCCTGTGTTAAATGTTGGCTGCAGCCTGCAATTCAATTGAGGGGATAGGGTTTGGTAGGAGGAGGTTAGGTTATTGTGGTGTGTACTTGAAGGGGACACTGGGACTCTATCCCTTACTCTCTACTTTTTGGCTGCCACAAGGGGAGTAGCTACCTCTCCATAGTGTTTTCCTGGTTCGGGATGCTGTCTCAGTAAAGGCCTGAAGGCAGCATGTGACCATGGAAGAAACTATTAGCCAGAGTAAACTAACAACCCATGGTGAAAGCCGGCAAGACTATAAGAAGTGGTCGGTGGTCTACCGTTGAGGAGTAAGCCAACGGGCTTGGATGCAGGGGTGAGAGGAAGGGGAAAGGGGCAGGAAGGACTCTAAGAACACTGTCCTGAGCAGCTGGCCAGAGGATAAAGCTACAGTGCAGAGTAGCAGACTGTTCGGAGCAGAGGGTGAGTCTGGGGTAGACCAGAGTGGATACGAGAACACATGGGAGTAAGGCAGCTGCCTGGGATAACCAAGCAGAGAGGTTGGTGGTGCTGGGCTCTGACCGAGCTGAGGAGAGAAGTTTGTTTCCCGTTCTTGAGGTAAGACAACAGGCTCTTTGGGATTCTTCTGCTAATCTGATGTGTCTACTGATAGAAACTTACCTCAGTATGACCTTTATTATATTCCATAGGTTTTGGCATGTTTGTTTCCACTATTATTTGTTTAAAGGTTAAAAAAAAAATCCCCTCTTAATTTCTTTATTCATTTGTTGGCTGTTTGAGAATGTCACTTAATTTCTCTGCACATGTGTACTTCCCTAGATTTTTTTCTGATTAATTTCTTACTTTAATTGCACTGTTCTCAGGAAAGCCGCTTGGTATGATTTTAAGTTTTAAAAATGTGCTGAGTGAGACTTGTTTTGTGGCTTCCCAGGTGACATGCTCTGGGAGATGCTGCTCTGTGGAGAGGAATAAAATGTGTGTGTTACCCTGGGCACAGGGTTCTGTGGATGTCAGTCAGACCCACTTGGTCACAAGTGAGACTTAACTCTGCAGTTTTGTAGGGAGGCTGATAAACATCTCTGTCATTGATTTGAAGGTCACTTCTCCCTTTAAGCACATAGATCTTTTTATACTAGATGATCTACTACCGAGGATGCATTGTCTATGGTTGTTACTTCCTTTTGCTGAATTGAGCCCTTTATCATTCTCATGTAGTGGCATCTTGCCTGTGTACCTGTAACAGTGGCCACACCCCTTTGGGCATGGCTTCAGGTGTGGATGGAAGCAGAAAGAGAAAACTGGCAGAGAAATGCTGCAGTGTACTGTTAGAGGTTCACAGGCAAGATGCCACTACATTCTCACTTTCCTTGACTTCTCTTTCCTGCTTAAAGTGTTTTCTGGAAGCCTCAAGCGAAGATGCTTTATGGAAGAGTCAGAGGTTGGCTGTGTGGTGGTGCTCAGGGCTAGGTAACATGTGGGTGGAGGGGCTGCTCAAGGAGTTCACCACAGGACAGACTGATGGACAGTCACTATAGCTGGATCAGGTTCAGTGACTTTGGTAGAGGAAGGGGAGTGTGGAAGGCAAACCCTGCCATGTCTTTGGGGACCCTGATCTCACTGGGGGAAGAACAGTAGAGTTGGTGTGTGCAGTAGGGTGCAGCAACCAGGTGTGGTGGAAGGGAGCACAGCAGAGGAGGGGCAAGACTCATCTTCAAGTTCATCCATGTAGCGGTTGCTAACACTCACAGGCTGTGGGGTTCATTTTCTGGTTAAAATCAATATGGTGTGATGCTGTTTTTTAAAAATATCCTGCAGGTTCTACATTCTACACACATTCTACGAGGACTTCTGTATTTATGACCTGTGAGAAAGCATTCTCTTTAGAGTTTTGGATTTTTTTTTTTTGTTTTGGAGACAGGGTCTCACAGTGTAGCTCTGGCTGGCCTGAGACTCACAGGGATGAGGCACCTCTGCCTCCCCTGTGCTGGATAAAAACATGCCACTATGTCCAACCTATGTTTGTCTGAGGCTACAATGTATATATAGGTCAGAGGTTCTCAATCTATATGTTTCGACTACCAGAAAACAGACATTTCCAATGGTCTTAGGAACCCCGAACTATAGATTGATTTTTATTGCTACTTCATAACTGTAATTTTGCTTCTGGGCAGTGTCTCAGCTCCTAAGACCATCAGAAAATAGATCTCTGCACAACACATTTTGAGGCTCCATAATTTGTTACTAGTTAATCTGCTCTGAGAAAGACATTGGCTAGCTCAATTGACAAACTACAGCTGTGACAACTTACAGCTGTGTCATTTCTCAGTGCTAATTTAAGAGAGAAAAAACAAAACAAAACAAAAAACCACTAGAAAGTGTTGGGTGTGCTACATGCAGCGGCTGAATGGTAACACAGATACAATACAGTTCTACAGGCAGAGACTTTCACAATCCAACAGGCTGCTGTTCAGAGCCCCAAAGTACAAAAGACACCCAACCCAGTTAATACTGTACTAACTGGAACCAAATCTCCTTGGACATAGCACACTTTTTCACATTTAAAGCAGACAGTCATTTCATTCATATTATGGAAGATCTATTCTCAGGCCAACATTGATTAGCCCTTTCTCAAACCGTCATTAGCAACCAGTAAGAAGGAAGGATTATACATTTTATAGAGTCTGCAATACTTAAAGGGCATAGATGGCCTAAGAATGTGCATGACTATAGACCATCTGGGAGCATAGCTCTCTCACCTCCATGACAATGATAAAAGCCAGCTTGGCAGCAATCACATGCCAATAGTAGATATTGCGTTTATACGCTTGCGGATGCCCAGGTGGGTTTCGGAAGTCTCGGTACCTGAAAACACAACAAGACATATTAGGAGACACATCTTTTTGATTAATATTGTAAACCAGGGCCCGATTTAAAACCAGTCTTCTTTGATGCAATGATTTTTAAATTGGACATCACATACATTTCACTTAAAGTTCAGTTTGGTATCGAATACTGGAGGAAATTTATCCAGTAGTAACTTATTGAGCATGTTATCAGAAAATGACAGATTCTAGCTGTGTAAAATAAGGTGCATCTTTATAAAGTAACCAAGTATTTACGTATTTTCCCCAAGGCTTTATCCTTGCATTTTGAAAAGACATAAAACAAGCGATCATCTTGACTGGGCCATAGCACCCAATACTGCACACTGGTCAGAGCTTTTCACCTAACTCTGTTGCTGCATCAGGCAGTCACTTCTAATTTCCTGGCTGTAAACAATTAGACCCACAAGAATGCAATTATTGAGATCAGCATATGTACAGTCCGAACAAGCAGACCACTTCTCCATTGTGTTACTGAAGATCTGAACCAGAATGGCTTTGAATGGTTGCCTTAAATGAGTTTGGGTTTAAGAATCTGTAGTAGAGAAGATAAACTTGCATGACCTACATGTTCAACCCTACCAACCGGTAAGTGAGCTAGGGTGCACCATCCTTGTTGACCTTCCAGCCACAAATGCAGAGCACTGGAGACACCTCACTCCATCCATCTTTATGTCTTTGCTAAGTGAGGTGCTAGCATGTCATTGTTAGCTTTAGGTTGTCCTTGAGCTGTCTTATTCCTCTTTCCTTTCAATGTTGGGAACAGAACCCAGGGACAAGCCTATGGGAGGTAAGCACTCCTACTGCTGAGCTACAGCCTGTGTGCCTCTTTTCTTTTTCTTTTTTCATTTTTTTTTCTATTTCATTTTACTGAACTAGTTTGGCCATGTATTTCAGGTTGGCCTTGAATTCAGGTTGTATCCCAGGCTGGCCTTGAACTCACTATGCATTCCAAGCTTGCCTCCACTAGAAGCAATTCGCCTGCACCTACCTCCTCAGTGCTAGGGTTATGAGCATGTACCACTACTGGTTTCATGCATTGTTCAATCTTGGCAAGAATTGCCAATTGAGCTACTGATATCTTATTTGTACTCTAACAAATAAAGCTTGCCTGAAGATCAGAGGGCGGAGCTAGCGACTAGCTAACCATAGAGGTCTAGAGGTCTGTACAGACAGACAGGAAGTGATATAGCTGGACAGAGAAGAAGTAATAAGGCAGGAGGAGACCGGAACTTGGTCTCTTTTCAGCTGGGAAGTTAGGGAGATAAGGTGGCTGTGGTTTGTTCCTTTCTTTCTCTCTGATCTTTCAGCATTTAACCCTATATCTGACTCTGAGCTTTTATTAAGACAAATTAGAACTTGTGCTACATTCCCCAGCCTCACAAAGGCAGTCTTAAGAACTGAATGATTTGAATGTGTAAAACTCTTAGTATTTCTAAGAACTATAAGGTTCTTTATCAGTTATGATGTATCCATTTGAACTCTTTTTCACATTTGGTTTAAAAGTCCTACCCTTGGTCTTTATTAGCTTTAATTTTTTGGAATAATATTATTATAAAAGAAAACCATGTGAAAACTATCCCTTAACATAGACTCAAATGATACCACATAAGATGAAGTACATTTTTTAAACAGGTAAATCCAAACTTGCCTGCACAAGGTATAGTTGCCAAGCCCAATGTACGGGTTTTCTTTGTCTGTGTTTTTGAAGTCTGTGATGTTGAAGACGGAGAGAGTGTTGTTGATGTAGCCATCCATGGTGTAGTAGGAGTGGTCCCCATAGGGAGGGATGGAGAAGGACCAATAATACACGAGGCGAGGGATCATGTCTGATGTGAAAGCAATGATCATGGCCTATGTTGTGGGAAATGAGAAAGGAAATGTTAGTTTAGACTTGTAGCTATGGCTTGCCATATGACAGAATCATTGTTTTTATCAAGTTGCATTTCTAAGTGTGAGGTGTACATATTTAAAGTAGAAGACACTTTGGGAGGTCTTCCATTCTAAGCAGAGTCATGAGGGAAAGACCCAGTAGTTGCTCGCTGAGTTTTTGAAATACACCATTGAGAGTAATCGTCTTGTGGCACCATGAAGAGCAGGACTGACTTGCATAATTTGTACGTAAATCTGTGCTGTTCAAAGTGTGGTATCTGGTTGACCTCAAAGCTCTACTAAAGAGAACTGGGAGTCTGCCATGGTTTAGATTTAGAATGCTTTTATAACACTAAGGTCAATATTAGGAAGATAATCTTGCTTTATGGAATAAAAAATTCATACAAAATTGATTTTTTCATAAAAATCACTTTTTTTTCTCACAAAGAAGAATGAGAACTGAATAATATACCTCTCTCTTGATGTATAGCTGCAGAATGGCCACTAAAGTCATACTCCTTACTCCCATGGTATCTTAGACTTACTTAGACAATCCATGGCCTGAATAACTAGATTGGGTTTGTTCTGTTCACTCAGTCAGGAAACAATGGTAGCTTTAAAACATCTAATATCTGAGCATCCAAACTTCTGAAAGATTAACTGGATGAAGTTCTGAAATCATAAATTATCATATAACACAGTTTAGTATGTTTCTGCATAGAAGGAACACAGACAGGTCAATTAGGAGTCTGTGTCTATCACAGGCAGAAGTATATTGGATGAAAACGCCTATTTAGAACTGCATGGACCTTCCCCAAAGATCTTTAATTTGGCTTTTAACTCAGTATATGAAACTGGTTTGCAGGAAGGACAAAGGGCCAATCACCAGCTGGAGCACAAGAACAGACATGTTTTTGGCACAGAGTGATTTGTAATAGTATTAATCTGGACACAGGGTTTAGCTGCAGTGAGACCACAAACCAACAAGCAAGATTCAGGCAAAGCAAGAAAACAATTAAGCCCCCCCACCCCTCACTAAATTCTAGTTTCCTTGCTTTCTGTGAAGTGAAGAATCCATGTGTGTGCGCACATATGTCTGCCTGTCAGCAATGAGGTATATGTGTGTATATGTATGTCTGTCATCAGTGAGGGGTGTGTGTGTGTATGCATGCGTGTATACATGTGTGTCTGCCTGCCAGCAGTAAGGTATATATGTAGGCATGCATGCATGTGTCTGCCTGCTGTCAGCAGTGAGGTAAGACAAGAAGATCTGGTGTGTGCTAGATTTCAGGATATGAAATTTTCCTGTTATCACGTAACTCAACACTATCTTTATACAGAATCACTGGGAGATGTGATTCAGGAAGGTACAAAAATTCCAACAAGGAAGATAATGTTCTCATTTTCTGACAAGGTACCTTTTCCCCCTGAATTGAGCTACTCTGAGATCACGGCAAGAATACACATAACGGAGCTTGCCTCATTGCCCATGCTGTTCTACACACAAGTTCCATTTATATCAAAATAAATTAAAATTGCTCTTCAATAGCAGATGCTCTGGCAAGGCACAACAATGTCAGCTGTGCTTATTTATGGAACCAGCCTTAACTCAAATGACTTCACAGCACATGCCTGCTTGGTGTCTCCTATCTTGGTGGCCTTTCTCCCTTCTTTTGTGCATATTAGATTGTGGACATCATGCAGGGTGTGTGAGGGGGAGGGGTATACATGTGGGGTAACACATGTTTCATGGTTACCAGTATGCATGTGTATTGACATGCATGTGTAATGACAATGTGAATGAAGGATTTTCCTTAGTTTAGTCAACAATGCAAATCTAGTAAGGGGCTTTGTTTAGGGTATATTATAGGAAAAAAAATAACCAGGAGTCCCAATTAGCTAACGAGTGTCTGTGCCTGTGTGAACACAGTGCTTTGGAAACCCAGCCAATCACCCATCTGTGCTCATGGAGTAGAGCCATGGCATGGATATAGGGAAAAGGTATCTAACACAATCACTCCAGAATGCTTGAGGAATCAGGAATTTGAACTAGATTTTTTTTTTTTCCTGAAGGCCAAACAAAAACCCTTCTAGTGTCAAACCTTCCTGCCCAAAGTCTCCCTAAAGCACAGAGATCCATGTTCCTGCCCTGCCTAATGTAGTGTAGCATACTGGATATGACAGATCTGTGCTCTCATGACTGTAACACTTGAAAGGCCTTGCTCTTGTGGCTCTAAACATCAGTCTTCATTTTGAAACACAGTGGGCATTGAAGGTAGGGGCTATTTGGGTGAAAGGAAACTTATTTAATCTATCAGTTCCCCAAAGCTAGATGTAGCCTGAAATTCAGAAAACTGGTGGGGGTGACAGCTATGTTCCACATAATTTGTTTCATTGTATCCAGTCAAGGGGGGTGAAGCTGGTTTTGAGGTGCCTGTCAGAGTCCTCGGGGAGCCACGGTTAATGATGTCAGGTAATGAAGTTAAACAGCAGCGACTGTGTGAATGAGGACAGGGCTCCGTGTGTCTGTGGTAACTCACTGACTTCCCAAACCATGCTGAGTACAGAATTCATTTAACAAATACAAAATGGGGCTCTGAAGTGTACAGGGCCAAGATCACATAGCTCAAGCTGTGGTGTGGGAAGTGGAACTCAGACAGACCTGACTCCACAGCCCACTTCCCTCCCCCAGAGCCTGAGACAGACCCAGCCACTCTCTCTTCTGCTTTCGCAGGAGTTCATGGGGACTCAGCAACTGCGGCTTAAGACGCCGAAATTAAAAAATCATTTTGCTTGGGAAGCTGGCCCGGTGACATTGGTAGTCAAATATGGGTAGAGATAACCCTGGTTTGGAGGACATTTGTAGGCAAAGGATGGGCTGGCATCAAACTGCTGGGCCTAAAAGCTGCCTCTTGGCCTGTGCCCAAACAAGCAACCTGTGCAGGCTGTACAACCCTGTTGTGTTCTCTCACAGCCAGGGGCACATGCAGTCACGAGGCTGCTGCAGTCATGACATAGGGACTGCTTTACCTCCTGCAAGGTGTTCCCCTGGAGAGGACAGGGTAACTGACACCCAGTTAGGATGGCCAATTGATTTCTCCTTCATCACAGTTAATATTTTAAGATGTCATTTAGAATATGGTGGGGTACTTTTAGGGTGCTCTGACTCTAAGTGAACCCATATGTGTCTATGTTTAAACGCATCCTGTGGTGATGCCTTTTATGTCACATACGAGTCAAAAGTATCAGTATTTATTACAATACTACCTGTGGAGGCTGGCCTGAGTGGGTGAGTCAATAATAATTATAAAGCATACTGGGGGCTAGAGAAATAGCTCAGTGGTGAAGAACACTGGCTGCTCTTGCAGAAGACCCAGGTCCAATTCCCAGCCCCAACATGGTGGCTCACAAACATCTGAAATTTCAGTTCCAGTGGGTTCTACTCCCTCTCCTGGCCTGGGCACCAAGCACACATGTGGTTTATAACCATGCAGGCAAAACACCCATAAAAATAATAGTGGGAGATGGGCCCTGTGGACCCCAGGACTACTCACATTGGTCACTACAGCCAGGATGGCTATCCCTTGCATGATGGGCTGCCACGCGCCGATGTCCTGGGCTTTTTCTGGTACCATGCGTCTAAACTGTGTTGTCAGCTTCCAGGCATCCACTCTTATTTCCAATATATTGTTCACCAGAGCCAGCAGGGGAGCCAGTGGAAAAGAGGCCACAAATAAGGTGACGAACCCAAACTGAATAACTGTCAATGGAATGGACACATATCATGGAGGGGACGACAGATGACAGGACAACACAATTTCCTTTACTCTTGTAAAGAAAAAGGCAAACAAAGAACCCACCCGAGTGAGGAGACACATTCACAGGCCAATCACAACTCAGTGCTCACAGCAAGACAAATTAAACAAAACAAAACAAAATATGAAACCTAAAGAAAGGAGACTAAGTACATCTTATTTCCTTCATATATATTCCCTCAAAAGAAACAACATATTGGAAACTCTGGATCAACCACAGTTACTTCCTGGTAATGCGTTTTGAGGCATCCTAAGCATACTTCCTTTGCATGGTAAGATAATATTAGAAGCAGATTCATGGTTTGGGATTTCAAGAAAGAACAAAGTAGATGTATCTAGTAACCAAAGAGAAGCAGAAATGTGTGGATATGAGAATGTTCAGAGAATGTTGGAGGTGTGCTAGCAACAAGCAGAGTGCAAAGCCTTCAGAGACTTCTGCCACTTAGCCCTCAAAGCTCTACATATCACAGGCCCTCACCACGGCATGGAAGCTACAGAAGCCACTCGTGTCTCCCTGAAAGTGGCTGCACATTCCAAAGCCCAGGAGACTCTTGACCCTGCTACAGACATACAGTTTTTGACAGGGCCAAGCATCTCCACTTCCATGGGATGGTTTTCCTTGACTTGTTTTGCTTTAAAAGCCAAGTTATATATTAAATAAGAGCCTCTAAAAAGACTTACCCATAGGGCTTCAACCACTTTTCCAGTTGCAGCAACTAACAATGTTTTAGCGCTGACTTTCTCTCCTGTCTTCTGCACCTTTCTGCCATGTTCGAATCCCCCCCTGAGCAATGATGTCATCCTCAAAAGTCTTCTCTGCAGAAATAACTCTGCTCAAGTTTTCTACCTGCTTTGCTCCTCTGCCCTGGTCTCCTCAACATCTGGTAGTCTCTCACAATTCCTGTTAGGTATGCCTGATCGACCCACATGACCTCACCTACGCTCCTTAGTGCCTGACCTGGGCACCCATGTTTCCCAGAAACATTGCCATCCTGATGTTCTTCAGACACATTGCCACACCGGCAACCCTCCTGCTTACTTACCCTGCACATTCCATCTCCCAGGAGGTAGTCACCCCTTCAGTACTCATCAAACCACTTTCCCCATTTCTGTTCCCATGCCCATAACCTCTGTTCAGGTACTCATCTCTTAAAAGAATTAATTGCTGATGACAGTTGATGGTGGCAGCGGTGGCGGCCACTTGGGAGGCAGAGGCAGGCAGATCTCTGTGAGTTAAAGGCCAGCCTGGTCTACAAATGGAGTTCCAGGACAGTCAGGGCTGTTCCATGGAGAAACACTGTCTCAAAAACAAACAAAGGAGCTAATTGCTGTAATTTCACTACTGTCCTCCCACCAAATACAGACCCCATCCAAATTAGCTTCTACTCTACTTCTGGAGTAATCTGACCTTCAGTAAAAACACCACACAATTCTCTTTCTTACCAATATTCCCACAAACCCCCATTCTTATGAAACCCAAGCCTTAGCTATACACACACAGGCCATCACATATGTCTGTAGTTTACCCGATATTCCCATCATCAAGCCTCTGCTTTGTCTACATAAATCTGAAGCAACCAGAGGGCGTGGCTTCGTATTTAAAACATGCCCAGTTCTCCACTACTTTGCATGTATCACCCATTTCCTTCACCATACTTTTGACACCACCATTCACTTTCCCAAGTCACTCCAACACCTCCTGCTTGACCACTAAGTCTTCTTGCACCAAGTCTTAGCATCTCTGGCAAATACAACAGTGGTACACCCGACACTGCTACTCAAAGAAGAGACAGGCGTTCCCTATCTGCCATGCTAGAAAGAAATTCCTTTAAAGATTGTTTTTCCCTGCATGTTGTGGACAGGAACACAAGAGACAAAGAAGAAAGGCAAACCCAAAGTCACTCAGAGTGTGTAGCATTTGATAGATGTGGTACAGGGAGGAAAAAGGTTGAGCCAAGGCGATGCTGACAAGCTGAGACATTTGCAACAGTAAGGAAATACAGAAAATATACGGAGATCATTGTGATGCTTGGTGCTGTCACCTTGACAGGACCTAGGATCTCCCGAGAGATGGGCTTCTGGGCATAGCTGTCAGGGAGTATCTTGATTACATTGTGTTGATGAGGACTCTTTGATTGTGGCCAGTAACTCCTAGGCTGTATATAATGTCAAAAATCAAGGTAAATATTAGCATGCATACATCCTTCTGTTTCTGTGGATATGATGTAAACTGCTGTTTCAGGTTCCAGCTGCCTGGACCTCCCCATCACAATGGGCTGTGCATTGAATTGTGAACTCCAATGAACCTTTTATCTCTTAAATTGCTTTTCTCAGGTATTTTAACACAGCAACAGGAAAGGAATGAAAATAGCTATTATTGTCGTGACTCTGCAGAAAGGCAAAGATGGAAAAGGTAGTCCAGGGACACAAGGGACTCACTGCATCACTTTAGTACTCTTCACTATGCCATCTGTCAACTATGAAGATGTCTGTCACAAAAGAGATCTGTGTCTATGGCAGTTAGAACCTAGGTACCAAACAGTATCTTCAGCTTTGGGTTTTAGGATCAACTACTGCTCTTCATTTTACATTCTGTATCCTAAGTTCTCAGAGTAAGGGCCTAACTCTGGCTAATACCTCAGAATTAGTCAATCTCAAATCATAGGGAAATGTACTAGATACAAAACAAAAACTTTGCTAGCAGCAAGCAGTTAAGAAAAATTTAGGGCATACAGCCTCAGTGGGCATTGAGAGGAGGCAGGGCAATGCAAATGTAAGATTGACCTGCAATTGCAAACATGCTCTAAAGTCAACAATTATCTGTAAGTACTAGGTTCCAAGTACTGGTGCCAAGGGTTTGATAGCTGAGTATAGCATGGGAGAGGCATTCATGCACACACGGGACTATGGGAGCTGGGGATGCTTGGCCCTACAAGTGCAATAAAGCAGTGACAAGAGCTGACTGGATCTGCTGAGGTCCAGCAAGAGCCAGTCAGGCAGGAAAGAAAGGGAAAGAGCGGGGTTGGTGGAAGGAACAGGCAACCTGCAGGAAGGTGGCTTTGCTGGTGAGTTGGGGGACACTATGAAGGTCACCTCAGAGTGACCCCACTCCCAGAGACAATATTTGTTTTTAGAGAAATGAAACAGCAATTCAAAGGGCACTGAAAATTGCATCTTTCATAGCTTAGGACTAAACACAGATTTCACTGTTACCAAATACAATGTAATATATTGTCTGTGCAAACTCAAGAAGCTTCTCCAAGTCATTGGCAATTGTTGACATGGCTATAAACATTGTAAGAAACCTCAAAGTCTGCCTACAGCAGCTGCTATGGTAGAATATCGTATATACATTTTAGAGCAGGATAAAACCAATTTAATTCGTTCATAACTATTTAATAAGCCTACAAAGCTCTAAATGTCTGTTTTTCTTCTCCCCAAAGTATGGCTATGTAACTTTCCCCCATAACATCATTCATTTAACTAATCAATCAGGCAAAAAACGACTTCCTCTGAAGACTGTACTGGAGACTCAAATAAGTAACATCCTATGCCAGGGAGCCACTATTAATGCTAATAACAGCTCTGGTAGGAGATGTTAGTAATTGTCTTGTAATCCATTCCGCATGGATGCTGCACCCTTAATACAGCCCAGTCTTGATAAAAAGCAACAATTTTCAAATCTGACCCCAGGCTGCTACACACACCAAGTGGACTGTTTTACCACCCAGACAAACAGATATTTCTGTGTATTATGCATATTTTCTAAAAGATATTTTATACATAGTAGGTAGCTTATTAAATTATACTCTATCTGCAGGAAACACTGTCCTGGTAGAAACATAAAGACTTATGCATACACATGAGGCCTGTCAAATTTTGTACTTGTTTTCCTGTTCCCTCAAGCTTAAGAAATTGTGACTCATTGTAAAGGATAGGTCAAGGACAGAGATGCAAAATCTGTAAATGGTTAGCCATCTTTTAGCTATAAGCAAGCCATTCCCAATAGAAAGATTAGTGTTTCTGATAAAAATCTGTTTTGATATGTTTTAGGCAACAGAGTTCAAAACCATGTTCAGCTGATGAAGAGAGCCTGCCAGGTAATCCACAAATGGCCAAGATGTTCAAGAAGGTGGGGTATCCCCATGCCAAATCCTAACTAATTCCAGGCCAGTAAAAGGGCTCCTTACTTAGAGGGTCACTCAAGGCACCACATACAAACCCTGCCTGCACCGAGGAAACAATAGGTCATCTAAAGCAGGAGTGAGGTATGAAAGGGGGACAGGGACCCTTTCTGCCATGAGGGACCATGTTCTCACAGGCTTGCTCAGTGATCCTCTTACGGCCAATAGCAGTGCCTGCATGGACTTTGGCCTAAGCAGAATGAATCATACCTAATGACAGTGATGGGGTCCATTCACAGACAACACAGTCAAAATGTTTTGAGAATGTCCAGTGAGGTAGAACCTCAGGGAAAATTCCATTTAATTGCCTGGTAATAAATCCTTAGCTTCGAACAATATAAATACTAACAAGAAACACACACAGCTATCATATATTTGAAAGCTTTGCTTTTTTCCTCTACTATATACTTCTATCTAGTGGAGAAAAACATATTCATATCAATATGTTATAATAGTTTTGTGGCTCAACCACAGATTCCTTCAGCTCCAACACATGTCCTGGCATATTTTACTGAATACTTACTCATTTCGAGATACTCATAGAACAACCCCAGCTTGCCCATGGGCTGTAGATGGTAGTCCTGTTCCCACCGTGGAATTATCTTTTCTGATCCTCCTGAAACTCGTTGATAGCGTCCAATCAGATTCATGACCCATCTGCCAGAAAAAAAAAAAAAAAATCAAATTATAAATTAGAATGAAAAGTGTCAGACCCACATCATGAATTATTTCTTGCTATCTCAGAGCTGAACAGGAAATCCTCCCAAGAAATCAGTTTCTCCTTTGCAATGCTAAATGTCTCCAGTTTTCCATATTTTCCTTCTAATCATTAAAAACATTTTTGTTCAGCATGAAAAATAAGTCAAATGAAGATAGCGATGCAAACTTGTGATACCTGCTGTAGGCATTACAAAAGTTCCATTTGTAATGCTGTGCAGGGAGAACTGGGGATGTTATCTTGTGACTGTGTGAGGCAGAGGGCTGAGCAGCAGGGCTAGAACCTCCAGGCTGGGGACTAGTGGCTACAGACAGCACAACACAGATGCTCTTGTGCGGCCTGGAAGGAGGAAGCAAGGCTTGAACACTAGGGTGGGATCCAAGAGGGAGGATTTGCATGCTCCTAATTTAGGGGAGGAGTGGCTGCTGCAGAACACTAGATCTCAGGCTCTGCCTTGAACCAGACAACTTCAGGACAACGGAAGAGGTGGATGTCCCTTTAGATCAGCTGCAGAGCCAGCCCTGCACACTGCTCATACTGCTCCCACCCAGCCGTCTGTTTTCTCTTTTTGAACATCATGCTTCTCGTGTCCCTGATACATGCCTCCCACCCTTTGCAGGGCAATCTGCCTTGAAAACAGACCTGAGATGGCAACAGAACTGGCCACATAGCTGTGACAAAGAAGCTCCGCCCCGTCAAGTAACAGTTGGCTTCAAGTCCACACATAGCATCTCCTGCACTTTGGTGAGTCAGACACAGGTTTGTGTGTCTCTGAAATTCTGACACTGAGGACTCATCACAGAACTGTGCAGACAAATGCTACAAGAAAATGGCACAGGCCCTCACCAGTTCCTCCAGCATACCAAGTGCTTAAGATTCGAGGCTGGCAAGAGTGGACTCGCTATGCTGGGCTTCTTCCTGCTACTGGTCTCTCTTCAACCTTCCTGGACCACTAGTAAGACTTAATTAGGGTAGATGTTCTCCCACAGAACATAGCCCTGGCTTCCCCATCTCTCCCTACTTCCCTACTTCCTCTGTAGGAGGCTGAGCAAATAGAGGAACTCAGACTTGGAAACTCTTGAATCTGAACCCACACACTCCTGCTTCCTAGCTACTGTACTTTGGTAAAGTTAAAATGTGCTGATGTACATTGGCCAGGGCTGATGCCAGGATTAATGGAATTTGACACGGGTAAAAAGGGCAAGCATATTTCCTCACACACACAGGACCTCCTGCTAACCAACACGAACTAACAGGCAGAGGCCACTGAAGACAGAGCTATGATACTGGGACACTGGCTTCAAGGTATGGAGTATTTGTGGACAGCAAAGCTCCTCTTTGTCAACCCAAAGATCTGAGGATGCTCTGGAATCCTCAATGTTGTAGCCATTCCAGGAGCCCTTAACACAGGTGGTACCCAAGGGCCACACCTCATAAGCCTTCATGACAAATCATGGCTTGGCTTCCATTGGTTTATTTTTTGCTCTGCCTCCCACTCCCCAGCCACTTCTGAACACTGTCCGAGCTCTAGAAAAAGCTGCCGTTTTCCTCTGGGCCTTCCGATCCACCTCTGTCCTGGTACACACCTAACTCAGTAGATACTTCCCTCCTACCATGATGTCTATAGACCACAGCAGACAACTCTCTTGACCTGTCTTTAGGAGCTAGAGACTCCAAGCCTCTTGCGCTGTTTTCCTGAGTTGAATCCCTTAAGTCCAATAGGAATCCATCCAACTTTGCCCTGAATCTTTTGAGTTTTTCCCCCCCTCTGTTGTTGTTTTGCTTTTAAACAAAAACAAATAGACCAAACAAACAAACAAACAAATGATAACAATCAAAACAAAACTGGACTGTGATTCTGGGGTCAGATCTTAACCTTGACGACACATGAGAATTTCCACAGATCTTTACAAACAACAAAAACAGAAACAAAACCACCAGAGAGCCTTTAACCCTCTCTCTCCAAGATTAGGAACAGAGGTTACAAAGTAATTTCTGTAAAAATTTACCATAACATTAACATCTTACTAAATTTCCCGTTAATAAGTTGTGATAGTATTTTTATATCTCACTTTCTCAGCCTTTTATCAAACTAGAGCCAGATGCCATTCCCATCTAGGTACATCCCACCTACAAGCACACATCCCTGGGTGAATGTGGCTATCAAGGCCTCATCCACAGCCTCCCTTGAAGGCAGGTATTTTCTACAACAACAGTCCCTTCTCTGGTTATGTAAGTTCACAGCCATTTCCTGGCTAAATGTCCACAGACACTAATGTTCCACATGTCTTAGGGGTTTCATTATTTTCTTTCTTTAATGTTAACACCATCTACCATCTTTTGTGAAGAAAAAAGAAAATCCCTAGAATATCAGTGCTGGGATGACCTGTGGGCTGACATTTGCTGGGTCCAGCTAAACACAGTATCAATCACTGACTGATGACTACAATTGAGGTCAACACTCACTCCAGGCCTCATGCCCCGTACCTGCACTGCACCTAGGACAAGTCTAGGTATGGGCTCAGCTCAGTTAGGAAGCCAAGCCAAAAGAAGGGTGTGGGACCTGAAATGACCAAGTCTCAGAAATTTTGACCAAATACCCTTTCCTGCATTCCTGTGATTAGCAACCTCATATGAAAGCTGTGACAGCTTTTCCCTGATGCCAATACTCTTCAGGGGCAAGGGACACACCACTGCAGTGGATTCTGTGTGGAACTAAGGAACAGGCCCACACAGAGAGCAGCACAGCCCTAGGGACACTGAGACTTGGCATTCTCAGGTTTCAAGCCAGGGGAAGGGAATTAAAAACATGACATCATTATCTTCTGCCAGAATGGAAATCTCTGAACTTGTTAACAATAAGCTTACTTGAAGTCAAAATTTCTCAGAATTGATTTAGGAAAGACGCCCTTTCTGTTAACTTTTTAAAACTCAGAAAGTAGCTCACTGTTAAGCAGTTACTTCTCAAAAAACATTTGGAGTCAAATAATCTACTTGGTTCAGGAAATGCTGCTTTAGTCATACAAGAATGAGTTAAGTGGGGCTGGAGAGATGGCTCAGCTGTTAAAGACTAGGCTCACAACCAAAAATATAAGAATGAGTTAAGTGTTTTTTGTTTTTGTTTTTTTAAAATCCATTTTCATATTGAAATGGCATGATTTGCCCATGACCTACTTTTACTTATCTGGAAAAACACGGATATGAACTTGATGAAAGGAAGGCTTGTTTTCTGTGTAGCAGGATTAAAGTTATCTCACAGTTAAAGCTGGAGCCCTTTCCTGGGATGGGAGTGTTGTCTTTGCTGGGAGAAGGCTCTCAACCGTTCCCACTGAAGAGGAAAAAAGCCCGGTGATGTGGATACACTGAAACCCAGGCAGCTAACTATTCCAGAGAGAATGAACAGAAACCTGGCAATGGAGGAATGAGACGAACATTCGGGGCAGAAAAAGAGACAACATTGTATGTGGTGAGGGAACACAGTGGAAGATTCAGGAAGGTTCAGCCTAAACCAGGTGGTGAGCTTTAAGCAAATCCATACCACCGAATGGTGAGGTAAAAGACTATACAAAGGAAGGACTTTTATTTCGAAATGTAAATCCCAAGTTTACCTTCATGCTCGAGTGGGTGGCTCAAGAGGCCGTTAAGGCAAGGTGACACTCTGCATTGGTGTAGACATGCCTTCATGGAGGAGGCAAAGTTGTAGAAGGGGGAATCGGAAGTTTCGTGAAAGCACAATTGGAAGCCAGAAACTACTTTGAAAAAGTAAGCATGTGGTCAGGACAATGTCCCAAGGAGGTTCCCTGATGGGAGATGTCATTCTGTATATATGTTTTTCATACTGGTTAATGAATAAAGCACTGTTGGCTAATAGGTAAGGAAGCTAGGAGAGACTAGGAGACAAGGAGGAAAGAGGAAGTAGGAAGGGTCAAGATGGAGAGACCAGGGAGAGCACAAGGCCAGCCCATTCCCCGGTAAGATGAAAGCACATAGAAATACGTAGATTAACAGAAATGGGTTAATAATTAAGACAGAGCTAGCTGATAAGAAACTAGTACCTGGCCAACAGCATTATATCAAATACAGAGTTTCAGTGTGTTAATTGGGGCTGGCACGGCGGCGGGACAAGACTGGCGGCAGGAGGAAAAATCCTACTCCTTATATATGGCGCCCATGTGGCTAATAAGAACTTACACTTAAAATTTAACAAAAGCTTAAAAAAGGGTTTTAGAAACAAAAGAACAGAGACAAGCAAGGTTTCTTGGTAGCAGCATTTTCTCGGTTGGACTCTGATTTGTGAGACAAGCAGATATTTGCGTGGCTCCTTTAGGGAAGATTCCTGACTCAGCATAAGCGGCAAAAAACCACACGGCTTTAAAAAAGCACTGCTAACAATTTATTGGTGTGTACGAGAGCTGGCAATGACAGTGACCACATCTCCAAGCCGGCAGCATGCTGCTGGATAGCAGCGCAGACAGACAGTGACCACAGCTCTCAGTGCTGTCGGTAAAATAGCTGCCGCCATCTTTGATAAACCGAAGCAGAAACAACTATGACTTTCATTTTAGCAATGTTGTTGTTTAACAGATAAAGACTCATGGCCAGACAAAGATAAAGATTTACAGTAAAGACAGATTCACATTAAGAAAAACCACAAACCACTAAAGGTTTACAGTGTGTTCTAAAATATATGTAGGCTTAGGAGAGAAAAGAAATAAAATGGTTTTAAAAAGAGAGAACAGCTGGGTGTGGTAGCACACGCCTTTAATCCCAGCACTCAAGAGACAGAGGCAAGCAGATCTCTGTGATTCCAAGTAAACCTGGTATGCAGAGTGAGTTCCAGGACAGATAAGAGTTACACAGAGAAACCCTGTCTCAAAAAATAGAAAAGAAACAGAATAATAAAAAAGCCACATAAAGATGGACAGAATCTGCATACTGTATGGCATTCTATTGTCTTTGTATCATTTGATTGCTGAGGAAATAACAACTGTTAAAACAAATGCTGCTAGATCAGTCCAATTTATATATTTTAAAAATGCTTTGATTTCAAAATTTAAATCTAAAGACAAGTTACTGGGGAAAAGGATTTCTATTTTTGTTTCCACAGAAAATGAAAAGCTGTGGATTCCTTCCAGACTAATGTGGTTTGATTAAGCCAGACCCCCTGAAACAACGTCCCAGGTGATCCAACATTCAAAACAGCTTGGACAAGCCAGCCTTGCAGACTACAGCCAGGATTTCTACGTCTTCTTAGGATCCCCATGACAGCGCCCCCCTATCAGCAGGAAGCAGTTTGGAAAGATGACACCCAAATTCCCAAATATTGTTTATGTTTGTTTACATTTAAATGGGGTTGGTTATGATCACAATCAATCTCTTTTTAAAGGTTAAAAAGGGAATTATGGTATAGATATGAATACTTTGTTTTGGAATTGATTTTTCAGTTATTGATACAATTTAAGGTCAATCTTGTGATATGTATATTTCTCCTCTTGTTTAGGTATTGTGTTTTTATAGCTCATTTAGAAATGTAATGCATAATTTAATGCAGATTATAGATTGTTACCTATAATAGTCAAAACTTATAGTTAAGTTAGTTAGGTTTTCTAGATATACAGAGATGTATTTGAGATGAATAGGCATTCTTCAAACCTTTCAAAGACCTACAGAATATAGCATTTAAAATGGTTTAGGGTTTTCTTGACAGTGAGACATAAATGCTCCTGGCAACACCATCTATGTCAGAAAGAAAGATGGACATCGAAGAAACATGTATGGAGTTTGCTTCCATTATGGCAAGACTAGCCATTTGGAAAAGATACTGTTCTTGTCTGGACTGTTTGACTTTATGCTGTATAAACTGGACATGCAGGACCCACAGAAAAGTGACTGCTGATTCAAGATGGACATTGCTACAGAGTTCCTGCTTCATGGAAGAGTCTGCCAGATAGTCTACAAGACACAAAGGAAAGTGACTGACAAACTGCCAATACAAGAAGACAGTTTAAAGTTTCCTGCTTTGCTGAAGAGTCTGCCAGACACACTATGGCCATTGGGCTGAAGATGGAACATTACAGAAGAACTTCAGGTGACTGAGCAGGCAAGATGTCTCTGTCATTTCTAGAGTTTATAGACTATCCTTCTGTGGTCTTTGATGGGAGTTGAAGACAGATAGTTATGGTTATAGTTTTCCTTAGTTAGGATTAAAGATAAGTTACATAGACTTTAGACACACAAAGATAGGATAGATGATGAAATATTTTCTTAAATCTTGTTAAATGTTAATGGACTAAATATTGTTAACTGTGATTCTTATTTGATAACTGTTGTGTGATATATTTTGCTATGTTAAGGTTAAAACCCTTCCTTTTATTTAGACAGAAAAGAGGAGATGATGGGAGAAAAACCCTACTCCCTATAGTTCCCTGCCCATCTCCAGAAGACCCAAAGAGTGTTGGGTACCATGGAAGCATCAGCTATAGGACACGGGGGACCATCCTGGATGATGTAGGGCGGGGTGAGAACCACAGAGCAGGCAGAGGCATGACAGGCAACATCCCAAGAGAAGGGTCTATCTGGGTGGCCCAGAGACCAGAAAAGGCAAATGCCTGAGACCTTCTGCAAAGGCCCTGGCTAGCCAGCACCATGGTGTTAGCTCAGTGAGACCCATGTTTGACATCTGACCTCCAGACTGGGAGACTTCAAATCTTATTTTAACCCACTGACTTTGTAATAATTTGTTAAATTGCAACAGAATTTTTATATTAAGTGTTCTGTTTGCAGGAAAATGTAGACAGTGCTGTCTACATAATAGGGCCTTTGCTACCTGTCTGGAGGGTAACTGGTTCCTGCCGCTATTCTCATTTTTACTATTCAAAACCCTGATGGTAACTGTTTCTGATGCTTTGTGGGATCACAAGAGACATCTATTCCTGACAACACCAAGTCTGGAATCATGTTATCCTAGAATTGAATCCCACGTTAGCCTCTCATTGCCAGTATGATCTTAGGTAAACCATTTAACCTCTTTAAGCCACAGATCTTCATTAGCAAAAGGAATACCTATGGAATTAAACTATATAAACATATACATTTGCACATCAACATATACATGAAAGCATATAGCATTTGCTGCAGAGACTGGCACATATTGGGCACATAACACATTACTATTAATGACTTCTAGATGCATGAAGGTGGGGGATACTTGTGAATGTGTGACAGTAGCAGTTCACAGCTCTAACAAGGGCCCTTTCTCAGAGGCTTCTGCTGAATCAGCCACAAGCCTAAGAGGCATAAACTACAGCAGGTGGGATTTCTGTTAAGTATGAAGATGAAAGGTCTTATAGGACTGTCTGTGCTTGTGTGTGCACACATGTGTGTATGTGTGTGTGAAGGAGCATGTGAACTCCAGAGGTTGACAATAGGTGTGTTCCTCAATTAGTCTTCACCAGCTTTTTTCAGCCATGGTCTATCATTGATCCCCAAACTTCTCCAATTTGGCTATGCTCACTGGCTGGCTGATGAGCTCTGGGGATCCTTCTGTCTCTACGTCCCCAACCAGGAGGTTACAGGTGTGTACAACAGTGCCTGGCTTTTTACATGGCTCCTGGGGATTCCCAGCTCCAGCCTTCATGCTCACAAAGGAAGCACATTACAACCCAGCCATCTGCTGGGCCCTGTATATAATCATTAAACATGTAGAAACCACTGTTTAGACCCTTTTGTCGAGAGGCCTTTAATTTTAATGGATTCTAGTCTGCTTTAGAGGTAGATGTATGGCTATGTGGGCAAATTATTTCAGTGGGTGGGCTGACCACTCTCCCATCCTGACACCCAGGACTATGTATCTAGTACTCACGGGAACAACACTTCTTGTATGTTATTCCAGATCGCCTTTCCGCCCATGATGATTGTCAGCTGTGTAGTCAGTTCAAGGAGACAGCCGCCCGGGTCGCACTGACATGTTACAAAGGAAACAACACTCAGATTTCAGGTGTGTAACTTGCAAAGAAACACTGCATTAACATCTCTATTTGTTCTCTTAGGCTAAAAATAGCTCAGAAATACACAAGGAAGTCACTTTCATTAGGCAGCTGAGAGAAAGCGAGCAGCAGCTTTAACTGTCAAGAGAGTAACAACATGATTGTGTTTTCGCACCTCTTCGTTTCTGTACTTGCCCAGCCAATACACTGGGTCCCCTGGATAGCCGACAAATTTGCCCTTAAAGAACGCAATGTAGAAACACGAGGAGTAGTAGTTGACGAACTGGAACAAGAACATCTTCATGGTCAGGCTATTCTCATAGTCAGTCTGGGTCCTTGGGAGTTCTGCAGTTAAAACAGCAGCAAGAAAGATGCTGAGATCCTGAACAGCTCTGAGACCCTAATCAAAGGCTCGGATCCCCAAGATGGCATGCTGAAAGGAATACAATTCACACTGTTCCTGTTTAATCTGCTTTCCACTTCTTAATATAGCCACTGTGTTAATTCTGAGTTTACACATTGTTATGAGTTCTCGTCCTATATAAATACAATATCCTCCATGGCAAGCAACACACACACACACACACACACACACACACACACTTATTTTCTAACTGCTCCTTAAAATTTAAAAAATGTTTTTATGGTCAAATGTCCAAGAATGTTTTTGTTCTAAAACCCCAATGCTATTTTTGTTCTGGTGCTAGGGATCAAATCCCTGTTGTCACTGAGCAACATGTCCAACCCCATATGGGCTTTAGAAAATATGTTTGCACTCAGAATTTCCTAACAATCTTAACCTACAGGAATGAAGATAGCTAAAAGTGCTCTAAATCTCTCGGAAATTGTTCCAGCTGGGCAGGACCTCACCGAAGTTGGTGATCATGATGGCCACCTTCTCATAGATAGTGTTCAAGATCATGATGATAATGAAGCTGATGATAGAAGCTGTGATGGATGTGGCCATCTGTGGTGTCAGGTATTTCTGGATTGGGTCAGTCCCGTTGAGATTCTTGGGGAGGGTTGTAGAGAACACAATAAACACCGACAGCCTGTAGACGATGATGCCGATCACAGACGCGATGATGAGCAGGATCTGAAAGCACCAGCATCAGCAGTGTGAGCCTCGGTGGGTCTCAGACTGTCTCCGAGATGGGCCCGGTGAATTAGATAAACAAGGGGCAGGATATAAGTGCCAGGGAAGAGCTGATAAATGGGGCTAGATGGGAAGAAACATGGGAACGAGAGAGGGAACATCTACCATAGTGGGATACTGTTGACAGTCAGACTGGGCCAGGCAAGAGGAGATGTGGTATCCCTCACTACATAGTCTATACAATTGTCCTATAAAACTAAGAACACCAAGAAAAAGTCTCTGTTAGAATGAAAATGTTCCTTGTATAATACTCAGTGGTTCATGTGTGGACCCATCAGGGGCTTTAGTTCTACTCTAAGGAGAACCATTCCTCCTGTCAGAGAGCCAGTCACAAAAAGTCAGCATGGGCTGGCTTGCCTTTACCATGGTAGTATCAGGGTCTTCCTGGAGCAGTGGCCAAGGTACTAGGCTGTTGGTATTGGCAGCAAGCCTCTGCTTTAAGAGCTCATGATTTCCACACTTGGGTTCAAACTTTGCACACTCCTGAGCCATCATTCACTCTCTGAGCCCAACCATTCTCACCCTCAGCTCCACAAGCTCTGCTGTACAACCTGCTACATTTCTGACTCCTATTTCCCAGGGCCACTGGGTGGCGTCCGGCACAGCCTGCACGTGGCAGGGTTTTACTTTCTCAGGAAACAGGATTTCTCTCTCTGGTCAGCATTAACTGCATGTTAAAGATCTAAAGTTGATTCAGCAGTATTTAACTTAGACAAGTGGTTCTCAACCTGTGGGTCTTGACCCCTTTCAGGGTTAAGTGGCCCTTTCACATTGGTGGCTTAAGACCATCAGGTATATCTGATGTTTACATCATGATTCATAACAGTAGCAAAATTAGTTGTGAAGTAGCAGCAAAATAATTTTAATAATTGGTGGTCACCACAACACGAGGAGCTGTAACAGGTTACAGCGTCAGGATGGTTGAGAACCACTGATTTAGACACTTGAAATTGTCCCCTATTTCTTCTTTCTTGGACATACTTCAGAACCATGGACTCTGTCTGAATGTTCATGATCAGAGGCAGGGCAAAGGTACAGAGAACAGGAACTCTAGCACCAAGCAAGGCACAGCATGTGAACCCCAGCTCTGGCACTGGCTGTGGAACCCTATAAATGTTAACCTCAGGCATCACTTTCCCATGCGGTGGGCAAATACTACAGGGAGAATACTATACCAAGGCCTAGGAAAAGCACTGGGTAGTACTAGCCGTGATCATGGCGACCAAAGTGTTAAAAAGACATTTTCTTCCTTGCCGTGCAATCTTTGTATAGAGAAGGCATTGTGTTTCCCTGTAATCTCGCTCATTATCTCCTCTCCTTCACAGTTAAGTCTTGTGAAATGAAAAGAATTGGTGTGTGTGTGTGTAAATTAGCTAGGGCTGAGAAGAAATTGGAAAAAATGTAGTGTCTTCCTCCCCCAGCATAATATAAACAGACCACTTAAGTCTCTCTAATAATCACCCCCACAATTACTTTGCTAATTATTCATCACAAGAGCACCCTTTTGGCGCTTACTGCTGACCTCAACACCCTTTCACTATTGAATTCTCTCACAAGAAGTTGGCATAGCAGGCAGTGTTAGAAGGAAGAAATACAGGCTGAAAGTAAAGATTTGTTCTGGAGTGAGTTGATAGGAAGGGAAAGCATGAGAGTCACAGGACTCAAAGACACAGCCTGGCAGCTCGGCTACCCCCTTGGCTTGGGTAAGGCTCTGGTTATCTCCCAGGCCTGCTATGATCCCGAACTCCTCAGCCTTCCAGGCATCTGCTCAGAGCAGGGTACTTTCTCCATTTAGGTTTACCTTTTGCTGACTCTATCTTTGATGTAAGTGCTCTAGGTGAACAGACATAGAAACTTTCCCATCTTGGAGAAAAGCCTGGCTTTGCTCTGTGGGGTCAGCCTCTCCTAAATTCTACCAGACACTACCTAGGTTACAGGCACTAGACCTCATCAAAAATTATACCTCAGACCCAGAGTTCAGTTTCAGGAATTGAAACCAGCCTTCCCCAATTTCATTATTATACATTCCAAATAGAAATTGGCTTTCTCACCTACAATTTTAAAAAACCTTTTAATTACAAAAAGTAATATAAAAAAATAGGTAAGATCTGTCGCTATTAAAATAAACGCAAAATTCTTTCAGAACTATGCCTTATTTGCATATTAAAAGCCAGTTTTTGTATTTTTATCTTTCCTTTTAACTCATCATAAACCTTAAGAATTTCACACATCATGGGATATTTCATGAGCATACTTTTGCTAGGATGTACAATATTCCATTGTCTGGCTACGTCTGAAGGGGGAAGAACATTTTTGGCTGTGGTGTTCATGTGCGTATAGGCCTCAGTGTGTGCACATGTGTTGTAAAATGGGATAATGTCTGTGAAGAAATCTTATCTCTCTGTAACACCCTTACCCTTAATGACGTGCTCTTACTATGTGGTCCAGGCTGACAACTGTTCTGCCTTGGCTCTGTGAATACTAGAATTATAGATCAGTGCAGCTACTCTAAACTTTGACATAGTTCTTGATTCATGGTTTCTAAAAGCTAAACAAAGCTAGTGCATATAAATCTTTCTGAGTGTATCTTAATACATGCTTTTGAGGAAAGATGAGAAACAAAATCACCTGTCCCAGAGGGAGAAGCTGACATTGCAGCCTGTCACCTCAATGTGGCATCTCCAAGGAGATAGAAAGGAGAATCTCATTGTGTGTACCCATACTCCCAGGGTCAGGCTGTTTTCCCAAATGGGCCACTGAGTTTGTCTTGGTTGGTACACATGTATGTATGATGTCACCTGCTGCTGAGCTCCTATAGCTGTCTCACAGCGGACTGGGCCTCCATCCTAAAGGTATCAGTCCTTGCATACCATGTGTTCGTATTCTGGTATTTCATTTAAATTCAGTGTATGCAAATCTTTACTTTTCTCTGAAATGTCTTTCACTGCTAGCAAAATTTAGAAGGTCATCTTAGACCTACAGACTGCATTCACTCACATTTATTTCCAGTTTATGGCTTACAGTTTAAAAAGTATTTTGGAATTTATTACAGAATGTGGTTCAAAGTATGACCCGACTTTTCCTTCCCCCAACAGCTAGCAAACAAAATTCCCACTGTTCATTAACTCAGTCTGGATCAATAACCCTTCCTCTCTTATGTATTAAATCATGAGACAGAGCTTGGATCTGGCTGTCATGCCCACTTCTTTACTCTGTTTATTCCTAAGCCAAACAAAATTCTCATTAATAGTATCTTTTAGCAATATCTTTATTTTTTTTCCTTCCTCACCTAAAACCAGTTTTTAAAACTTTTCCTTTCTTTAGTGGCATATCTTTTTGTTATGGAAATTCCTACTATTTTTAATTTTAGTTGCAATTTCAGGGAGTTCTTACTGCCTCCCTACTTGGTTTCTTCAGTAGCAGCTGGAAATCCTGACCTGATGGTAGGAATGAGGTAGAAGGAACGAAAAGCCACAGTGGACAGGAAGGTGTCCCCACCTGGCAATACTCGATGTGGCAGCCAGGGAACACTTAGGGGCCATCTCTCTCAATGACACCATGTAGCGACCACACCTATCTGGAGGAGACCACATGGGCACCTGGCTTGCACTTTCCTTGATATTTTAAATGAAATACTAAAAAAAAAAATTGTCACAGAATAAAAAAATTAAACATAAGGTTTGTGACAGTTTCTTACCCAGAATAAGACAGCGCTCGCACACAGGGTGATCCGGATACACTTCCCACAGGTAGTAAACGGGATACGTTCCTCCTCCTGATGAAGAAAAATGGCTGGTCAAGGAGGCAGCACCAATAAACTGTTCATATCTCTGGATGCCTCAGCATATCTTAGACTTAACTAAAAACAAACAAAACCCAAGTATGCAAGTGTACTGTTCTCACTGTTAGATGTGAGGTTGATCTCACACAGACACCAGGCCAAGTACAGCATTTGTTTGTTTATTTATATAGTGGTGGTATTACATATTGAATTCAGGACCCTGAACTGGCTTGGCATGTGCTCTCAGCTATCACATCTGTGGGCTTTGGTAAGACTTTACATGTTAACATGGTGTAACAATGAATTTTTGGAGGTTTCCATCTCACGTTTATCAAGAGAAGAAAACAAGAGGAGTTCTAATTTACCTGGAAGAACAGCCAGAGTGTAACACCAGGTGTGAGCTTGGCTGGCGTTCACTCAGTGCCAGGTACTCTCCTGAGTTTTACACACAAACGCCATCAATACTCATGATAGTAACATGGAAACATTCTGTCACTTCCACTTTATAGACGAGGAAACCGAGGCACAGATCCAGGGTCACCCAGCCCATAAGCTGCTGTCATATCTGCAATGTCAGCAATGTCTCCTCTCTAACCCAGGGATGCACAAGGCAACAAAGGTGACACAAGGAATAAAGGAAAGTGAGATTTCATTAGAAAGTTTTAGCAAGCAGCATTTTGCTGGGGATTGAATTCATTAGCTGGCAATTTTAAATGAGCGGACCATCTATCTACTTGAGTTTCAGCTTTCATATTAAAATATCCACTCATAGGCGCTGCCCTGTCCTCTGCAGCAAATAGCAGTCACTATTCAGAATGGGGACAAATGCCACCTGCTATGCTACTCATAATGGGGATGTTCAAGTGCCCCCTACCTTCTAGCACCTCTATTCTGAAAATCTGGGGGTGGAGTTAGAACCCTACAGTTGGGGACATTCCTCAAGAATTTTCCTTCCAGGAGAGACTCCTGTTCCCACACTGGCGACTAAGAGCAGCTTTGGATTCCCTATGTTGACAGAAATAGTATGGAAAATTCAGAAATCAGCTCTTGGAGGTTTGGGGATGAACAGGGAGACAGGGAGAGGTGTAATGTTATTTCTTCTTCCTCTTCTTCTTCCTCTTCTTCTTCCTCTTCTTCTTCATCTTCTTCTTCCTCCTCTTCTTCCTCCTCTTCTTCCTCTTCTTCTTCCTCCTCTTCTTCTTCCTCTTCCTCTTCTTCTTCCTCTTCCTCTTCTTCCTCTTCTTCTTTCTCCTCCTCTTCTTCCTCCTCCTCTTCTTCCTCCTCCTCTTCTTCCTCCTCTTCTTCTTCCTCTTCTTTTTTTTTTCCAGCAGTTTTAGCTAATATACTCTTCCAGTGGCGAATGCCTCACACAGTGCTGGCTCACAGTAGGATCTCTCAATGTGTGCTCCCCTCCTTCAACCCTTTCTGACTTTAGATTAAGAGTCACAGTGGTTTGTTTGTTTGTTTGTTTTTTGTTTTGTTTTGTGAACACCCCAACCAGGAGGGCCAGTGACTGAGCGCGCCAGAGAGAGGGACAGCAAGCTCAGGATGCATACTGACAGCAAGAAAGATGCCTGAGACATCTGTATGCCAACATATCTTACCTTATACAACTATGTCATTCTCACTCCCTCCAAAATATATGCATTTTATCACTATTGAAAGAGAGGGACCACAATGGTCTCCACACACACTGTCCTAAGCAGTGCCCAGAACACATCTGGGATACTCAGCATCTCAGAGATGCCAAAATGGGCTCAGGCACCTGCACTGTTCAAGCCCTATAATGGCTTGGCAGATTGTGGTGTGAACCACTTCAGAGAAAGCACTGAATTACCTTGCTGAGCACTTCAGGGAGAGCACTGCACTGCATCACCTTGCTGACCACTGCAGGGAGAGCACTGCTTTGCATCACCTTCCTGAGCACTGCAGGAAGAGCACTGCACTGCATCACCTTGCTGAGCACTGCACGGAGAGCACTGCTCTGCATCACCTTCCTGAGCACTTCAGGGAGAGCACTGCACTGCATCACCTTCCTGAGCACTTCAGGGAGAGCACACTCTACAGCAGAACAGACACACACCTGAGTGATCTCGTTTATTACCACGTGATTGCACTGGGCTTCATACTCTGGCCGGGCCTGTTCCTCCTGCTGTAGCTCAACGGTGTCCCATTCGTACTCAAGCTCTGCCTGGCGCCGCTTCCAAAACTCCAAAAACAGCGTAACTGACAAGAGAGAAGAGGACAGTGTGGCTCTGAGGCTGGTGCCAGAACGCCATGCCAGGAGTTAGCACTCCTACTCATGTGGTGAGCATAATGTATTTATAGGTTTAAATGACATTTAAAAGGCAGAAAATGTTTTCTTTAAATAAAAGTGTTGGTAATTTACAGATACCATAAAACATGATGGTCTGTGGGGGGTGATCGGGATGGTCAGAAGGCAAGTATGTGTGCTGGACACAAAGCTTGCAACCCACGCTTCACCAACTGAACACACAAGTAAATTCACTATTCAAGAGCAGTTCATGGTTTGGCCCTTCCCTACATTCTCATTTCTCCTCTTCCTCCCTCCCTCTGAGACAGGGATAGAAAGGACACTTTAGTGCTCTCTACATAAGCTGAAACAATATTTTTAGATGGAATAATCGATCAATTTCTCAGTTTTGTACAAATATGAAAAATATTAGGCATCATTATTTTTCATAATCTGTAACTCAAAAAAGCTAAAAATGTTAAATGTTAATTGACGATACAGCTTCCAGGTCAGTCCCGTAGGCTTTTTTAATTAGTCTACAGTATTTAACCCTTCTTAAAAATTCTGAAATTATCATGGTTTCATTCATAATTACTATTCAAGTGTCCACTAGATGCTGAGAAAAAGAACGAGAAAAAAGAGACTTCTAGATGTATGGGAATGACAGTTACCGCAGACAGAGCAAGAACACAATGTTCTGGACACATAAGTGAGACATCCAATGAGCCACCCATCGGTTCTCAACCTGTGTGTTGTGACCATCACAGGGGTCACATGTCAGATATCCTGTGTTATCAGGTATTCACATTACAATTCATAACAGTGGCAAAATCACAGTTATAAAGTAGCAAAGAGAATAATTTTATGGTTTGGGGTCACCACAACATGAGATACTATATTAAAGGGTTGCAGCATTAGTAAGGGTGAGAACCATTACAACAGATACTTCAGGCACAGATTTCTGTAGGAGGGGACCGTGTGGGTATCTTGGGATGGCTGAGATGATCGGGTAAAGGAGAAAGGCAGCAGGTGAACAGTTTAGCTTCCCTGGGGAGTTGCCCATGAAAAGTTAAGGAGGCCAGGGCACCAGGTACTTTCCATTCTGGCTGTCACTGAAGTGTTATGATGAGGAAGGTGGCACAGCCGAGTGACAGACCTGCAGGAGGGCATGTTACAAAGACATTATGAGCCTTGAAAGGAGCTAGGAGTTTAATAAAGGTTGGGAGCACATGAAGGCGGTCTAGTGTGAACACAGCTGCAGGAAGACCTGCATGCGAACAACAGAGAAGGTGTGAAGGATGTTGAAGTGAACAGAATGGATGCAGGTGTAACGAAGGGTCAAGAATGCAGGCCAGATTTCTGGCTTGAGCAGTGTAGTAGAGGAACACATCTCAGAGGGGAGACACTGGGCCAGTGTAGTGCAGTGAATGAGAATGACACCCCACTCCCTCAGGCCCATATATTTGAATTCTTGGTTCCTAGTTGGTGGAACTATCTGGGGAGGATCAGGAGTGGCCTTGTTAGAAGAGGTGTGTCACTGGGGCAAACTTTGCAGTTTCAAAACCCCTGGCCATTCCCAGTAAGCTCTCTCTTTCTGCCTCCTACTAGTTGATCAAGATGTGAGTCTCACCATGATAGACTCTTAACCCACTGAAACTGTAAGACCAATTAAATATCCTTTTGTAAGTTGTGTTTTATCACAGCAATAGAACAGTAACTAAGACAGACAGTGATGATGTGTGGCTGTGGACAGGTGTCTAGAGTATTGGAAGGGCCAGCCAAGTCAGGAGTCTAATGCCTGACTAGGGGTGGACGGGATCACTAAATGAGGGGTCTACAGTGGTAGGTCTCAGGTGGGCTGCATGCACTTAAGAGGTACTGGGGAGCTTTAAAAGTCCGAAGCACAGGTACCAGCCCTGAGATTCTGGTTCAATGAGCCTGGAATGGGGAATGCTGCCTGAGCACAGGTGGTGGTATTATTTTTTTCTTGCCTTCCAATCAGCAGTCAAGGTTGAAAGTTGGTCCTGCAGAGCAGAGTGGGAATCCAGAAGCTAGAAGGAAAGTCTAGGATGCGGAGAAGGAGCCTAAATGCAACACTTTCCAAGGATGAAGAACAATGAAAGGGGCAAGCACCCACTTCACAGTTTTGCTTGTATGACTACTTCACCAATGGTCAGTTGGAACAGAAATGTCCTTAGGGTTGGAATCGGTCTCTCCCCCCCCCCCCCGCCCCCATTGAGGGCAGAATGATGGTCCCACTGAAAAGCATCCAGGCCTTCAGTGTCCTTGAACTTGCCTAAGGGGAAGTGAGGTAAGTGCTTGTCACTGGATAAACACCTTCAGGACACTAGGCAGTTTTGTGGTGCAAGCTGTGACTGCTACTCTTATTGCTCACAGGAGCTCTGCTAGCCTCAAGTGGCAAACATTTCCTGAGACCCCTGCTGGGGAGTATGAGCCACCCTAAGGCAACCCTCTCAGGCTAACTATGGAGCTAACGGCCCTCAGAAAATACCCACACAGTCTATCAAACAGAAGGCCTACTTTAATTTACCCAAGAATTCTGCCAAATATATGACCTACTCCAAAAGCTGACCCCACTGTCTCAAAACAATGTGATTATTCTAGTAAAGTATATTCTCTCTCACAAAGAACACACTATTCCCTCCATCAACCCTTTTTCTCTTCAATACATATAGCATGCATGTAAGCCTAGGCTTATCATCTGTCATGGCCATAGCATCACTGTCATGGAGCAGGGATGAATGAAGCACTAGTATACAGTAGGCACTTAACAAACAAATGCACTGAAGGCAATGTACCAGAAACTGGGTACCCCTCCAACCTCAGCTTGAGAAACCAGTCTTAAGAGTCCCCCAGCTTTACTGCCTGCTTACCTCTGTGTGACGCTCCCCTTCACCTCTCTACCACACCAGATGGCCTGGATCAGGTGCTTAGTTTCAGTGAGTCTTATTTGTTCATCTGTTTCCCAATTCATTAATTTCTACCCTCATTTAAATTATTTCTTCTGCCTACTAATTTTGGGCTATTTCTTATTTTTCCAAGGCCCCAAATTACCTTAAATTACTTACTTGCAACATCTTATATCTTAATGCTAGTACTGGTAACTACAAGTGTACTTACAACTGATTTCATTGTACCACACAGGTTTTGGTAGGTTGTGTTTTAATTTTCATCTGAGTCTCAGAACTTTTTGGAGCTGTTTCTTATTTTTTTCAGTGATCCATTCATTCATCATTCAACATTGTGTTGTTTTATCTTCAAGAGTTTTGTCTGTTGTGTTTTTAAATGTATTTTTATTATTTTAAAAGCTGCGTGCAGGTTCCCATGAAGGCCAGAGGTTTGGACCCTCTGGAGCTGGAGTTCCAAGTAGTTGGGCGATACCTAAGACAGAACTGGGAACTGACCACAGGGCCTCTGTAAGAGCAGTACCACCTGCAGAACCATCTCCTGCCCACATCTTTTCTATAGTTATTTCAATCTTCTCATATTTGGGGGTTCTTGCTCTGTGTGCTAAGATATGATCCATTTTGGAGAAAGCGCCATGGGCTGCTAAGAGAAGGTATTTCTTTGGTGTTTGGATGTAGCTCTCCATTTGATCATTTAACTCAGATACTTCTTTGTGGGATTGATATTTTCTAATCCATTCCTACTTTTCTGAACCCTAAGCAAAATATGAATAAAAATATAATTAAATCAATAAAGCTAAACATTTTTGTCTATTTCTAAAAACCTTATTGCAAATTTTTAAATGTATATTTTAGTTGTTGTTCAGTTTTTTTTTCATTTTCTTTTATTAAGACAGGGTCTCTCTATGTGGCCCTGGAAGTACTAAAATTCACCATGTAGACCAGGTTGGCCTGGACATTACAGGGATCTGCCTGCCTCTGTCTCTGCTGGCTAGGATTAAAGGTGTATGCCACCACTGCCTGGTGTACACTGTATGTGTCACCGATTGAAGGTTGAGAAAAAGAAAACCTTCTGCTGAGCTCTTATTTGATGAGGCCATGGGCAACTTAACCTACCCAAGAGTTATTTTTCTCACTTTTAAAATCATGACAGATAAACAGAATCTATGAAATAACTCTATCAATAGAGGAGGGTTCACTAAAATAACTTTTCTTTCAAAAAGCAACATGAGATCAACTCTAATTGACACCTAAGGAGAGAATAGCAGCTCCCTTCCCACCACTCCTGACCTTAGGAGTTGAGAGCTATTTACTTCCTGGGCAGTTACACTTCGGAAGTGACTGGATTTGAAGGGAGCAAGTGACTGGGTGGGAAATACAGAGTTGTTAGCAGATTTTCCATCTTGAAGGCAAACCCAAGGGTTGCAAGAATGGAGTTGGTATTCATCATTTCATTCACAGCCAAGAACTCTGTGGGGTGCAATTACCCAGAATACTCCTAGGAACTCTTAGTGTGGGTTCTTATCCAGAGTGTCTTAAATGGGAAGAAATGCTGTTCTGTATAATACAGTAAGCCAAGTTCAACTGGCTGACAGTGTACTTCAGTACCTAGGCACACACCAGGAGGCTCTAGTACAGTGGTTCTCAACCTGAAGGCCAAGACTGCTTGGGGGGGGGGTTGGACAACCCCCTTTTAGGGATCACATATCAGATATCCTGCATATCATATACTTACATCATGATTCATATCAACAGCAAAATTAAAGTTATGAAGTAGCAACAAAATAATTTTATGGTTGGGGTCACCACAACATGAGGAATTATATTAAAAGGTCCCCCCAGCATTAGGAAGGTTGAGAACCCCTGCTCTAGTCAATTAGATGCAGTTAAAATTCTTCCAGTACCCACCGACATAATAAGAGATGATTAAGGGTTGCATGGATCTCAAAATCAAAACAATTTCTATATATTATGATAGTACTGCATCGAAAGAAAATATGTATTAGATGAAGATGCCGAAACACACAAAAAAGTTGATGGCAGTATAATATTATGTTCTGTAACATAAAAGGGCAAGACATAAGCTCCAAGAGACGGAGGTGTTCTGATGCTGTAAGAGCATGAGATGTCTAACTTTTCAGACCTCTGTTAACAATGTTCTATAAGGTAAATTAGCTTATTCACTCCATTCTGTCTTTCTAACCTAGACTCTCTTGCAGCTGGGGTTCTAGAAATTACTTTTTAATTGCTCACCAGCTGTGTCATGTCTGTCCCTCAAATAGAGACAGAGAGGATGCAGCAGGGACATCTTAAGCCTGGGACCACCATGTGCAGCCAGTTCCTAGATGTGTGAGTCACTGGACCTTCTGACCCCCTGGGTCTTCAGGAGCCATGGGTCTGGTGGTCTCCCAGACAGCACTAAGCCTTGTTTAAAACTTGCCTTCACATGTGATTACTAAAAAATGTATCATGTAACCACATGTCTAAGCCAGGAGAGTCAGGTAAGGAGGAATGACAGGACTGGGTTGTACTCAGGATCTTTAACTACAGCTTGTGTTTAAGACTCCACGAGTCAGCACAGGCTGGAGCAGCCAAAATGGGGGATATTTCTAGGTAAGTACATGATTGGTACTTATAAACTTATAAACTTATAAAACTTTTCCTGCCCTCAATGTTTCCCGTTTCTAGAGAACAGAGAGAAACAGTCTTTGCCAGACACACTGTGAGAAGGGAGATGTTACAGGAGTGGAATGGCTGTGGTAAGGAATGACTTCATTCAGAGCCTTCCACCGCCTCCATTCTGCAACTTCAGACTTTCTGTAATGAGGTTCACAGCGGCAGTCCTTGCAAGGCAGAAGTGACAAGGAAACCAGCATAAAGCACATCAAATACACACGCTTAGAGACATGTGCATGTGATGCTACAAGCCGTACAGAGGCGCTTTCTGCATTCTAAAGTCAGACAAGATGGATCAGCAGCCAGGTGCAGGACAGTTCCATAACAGGGTGCAGTTAATGGTCACAGAAGGTAAAGCTAATTAGGAAATTTGAGGCTTGCCTCCCCTGTATAAAAGTTATACATATAAATTAATATATATTGATATATTAAAATTAATATGGCATACACAATTTAAATGTAATTAATATGCATTTTAATATGTCAACACATTAACCTATATAGAATATTATACTGTTATATTATGATTATATTATAAATACATGCATATATGTGCATATATACATAAATGCATACATACATACACACATACATATATATGTATGTGTGTGTGTATATATATGTATATATATATATATATTCTAAACAGAAGTATATATATATATATATATATATATATATATATATATACTTTATTTAAAATGGCTTCTGTTTAGAGTCATAGCAATCACAAGCTGTGGCTAAGGCAACATGAAGAGTGCTGATCCCTGTGCATAGCTCCCTGGCTACTACTAGGGGAAAGGGATGTATTTCCAATAGCGGAGGATGTAAATACCCGAATCTGACCCAAAGCCTCACTCATGCCAGGCAAGCACACCACCACTGAGCTGCATCCCCAGCCCTCTCTGTGCTTCTGTGGCAAGTATTTCCCAGAGTGAGGTTTCCAGTAAAACAAAGAAGAGTCTCAATGGCAATGCCTTCTCTTACTGGCTAAGTGTGGCCACCTTAGACTTCGCTGTCCCCTAACAGTGCCCATGGGTATTTCTAAAGGGTACAAAATAGCATTTGGTGGCCTTTTACAAGTACAGCCACCACCCATCCTGCAAGGACCCTCAACCCCCACTTCCATGTGCTTTGGTGCATGTTTGTGTGCATGGGCTAATGCCTCCCCTTTCAGGTTGAGAGACATGGTTCAGTTCCTCGCTTGCACTTACCTATAACCCAACGCTACTGATCTTAACCTACACAATACAACTGGAAAAGAAATGCATGTACCTTTGAGCATGGCAATGTCCAATCTATATAAGAATTATTACACTAATTAAACACTCAAAAGTCCACATTTTAATAAAATGCTTTCATTGTAATGTTCTTAATACTACATAGATTAAAAAGGATGACCACCACCGAGTTTCTGTGCAGAAGTTACACATAAAGATTGATCTTTTCTATTTATTACAGAACTTGCTATTACCACTTCAGTGAAATAGACTTAAAAGCCTTTCAATCCTTGCCCCCACCCCCACCCCGGGCTGGATCCCAGCTGTGGAATTGTAGCATGAGGGATAAGATAAGCATTCTTGATCTACAAACCATGCTGAGTGCCTACTTATACTAACTGTGATTTTGTAAGTTTAGATTTTGTATTTTGTTTTAAAGATGTTCCTGTGATAGTCTATTCAAGGGGAGGAGGAAGAGGAAGATGTAGAAGAGGAGGAGCAGAGGGGAGAAGAGGAGGAGGCGACTCCAAGTTTTGAGGCACTTTCAGTCCTGAGCATTTGGGACAGTGGGTACTGAAACTATAAGGGCTTCCAATGACTCATGCCCTTTGCCCTTGGGTAGCCGTCTCCACCTCTTCCTCTCATTGCTCAGACTTGGCTGCCTGACTTGCTGCAGCTGATAATAGGCCAAATGCCACTGTTGCACATGTGGGTACACCTTGCCTATCAAGTTGGTACCCAGGGGGCAGTAGTGGCATGACTTTTATAGGGTAACCAATTGTTTTCTGATTGGATTTGGTCTGTTTCACAGGAGAAATTTCAGGCCTGGTACCACAAACCTGTTCAAAAGCTCATGGCTGAAGAAGTCATAGGGCCTAGGGTAGGACCTACTCTTGTTACTTTGCTAAATGGTTATGCTATGAAGCTATCTTCATTTAATTTAAACCCATAGATCTGGGCTGCTCTCAACTCCAGAAGAGAAGCTTTGCCTTGTGCCGTGCATCAGTTAATGAACACTTATAACTGGTCAAAGAGCTGATAACAAGTAACCACGAGTGCTTAGCCCCAAATGGGAGATCTTTTATCAGACCAAGGTTAGGTAATATTGCAGAAGAGGAGGTAAAAAGAATTTGATAGCCGGAGGAGCAGGGCAAGTGCCATGCTTCTGGGAAGATGTGGCTATTGCACTAAAAACTTATCATTTATGGTTACCTGCAGGAGACCCACACAAAAGAAGCCAGCTCAAATTACAACACAGACTGGGAGTGAGCTCACAAGACCTCACCCCTAACAGAGGAGCTGTTGGCATTCAGTAGTTGCTTGGAGAGGGAGAATCATTCTTTGGAGGGGTGGCCATAGGTAGGTCGCCCATGCTCCAGTGGATGGTGGCACACCCAGGTAGCACAAGCTGGACTTAGTGTGTTATTTTAGAAAAGAAAAGGACTCCAGGAAGTTGAGAGAGAATCTGGAGGGAGTAGAGAGGAGAAGTGTGTGTGTGTGTGGGGGGTGACATTTCATTGTATAGACGTATGACATTCTCAAAGAATAAATAAATATCAACAATTTTTAAAGCTCGAGACATTGGGACCTGTGTTCCTTTGCTTCCTCTTGTAGCTCTAAAGCCTCAAAAAAAACCCCATAGGATTGACCATTTGAGGGTGAGAAACCACATGGAATCCCACAGACCAAGGCAGCCTTCTTCCTGCCAGATCACCTCTCAAGCCAGTGGCTTACCACAGAAATCAGCTGAGCCAGGCCAAGTATGACTCAGGGAATTGAGAGAAATAATGAAATGAGAAACCAGGTGTGCTTGTGAAGCTGCAGCCTTTTGATACAGTAAAATCTAATGACACCTACAAATAAACCTCTTGGGGAGCTGCCGCTCAGCCAGGACATGGTCCTAAAAGTGGACGACTTTAATAGCTAACACAAAATTTTACCAACGCTAGCAAACTGAAAGGCAAAAGTAACTTACCCCACACTCCCATAAATACTGCAAATACCAGGGTTCCGAAACTGTCAAAGATGCACAATTTCTGGAAAATAGAGCAGTGACACATAAATAAATGAATCCTTCGCTTATCAGCATTCAGCAAATACATAACGCTTCGTGCTCTCTGCAACCTGAGTGTTCTCTAGGGCTGATGCCGGTTTAGCAATCACAACACATACGACATACTCACAGATGGAATTTCTCACATTTTAAAGGCAAACAGCTTTTGCCATCTGAGCCCGAGTGCATTTTCTAGTGGAATCTCCCCATGCCGTAATAAAGATGTAGGCACATCTGCTAAGATTGTGAGCTGCTAAAGCCTCTTTTATGAGCTGTCAGAGTGAAGGTAAGGATGCAGCCAGTGGCTCTAAGAATCTAGTGCCCTCTAAGCAACTTTACGATTTGCCTCTTATCATTGTCTCATTCCCCTCAGAGGATAAGTTCCAGAAATACTTCTTTTCTTATTTAAAAAAAAAAAAAAAAAAAAAAAAAGGAAGAAAGAAAGAAAAGACAAAGCTGAGTTGAGTTTCTGTGGCTATGGCTTTCCTCCAGGAGTGTTCTGCTTCCTCCAACCCAAGAATGGCTTGGCTCCTGTAACGGCCATGCTTCCTTCCAGTGGGATAAAGCCTGTGCAGGTGCTACTGATATCCCCAGTACAGTTATCACTAAGGATCACTCTCTCACTGCTGCCAAGCTTGATCTCTTTGCGGATAGATACACAGCCTTTATGACATCCCGGAAAAACTTTTCCTTGGTTACCAACTTTCATTAGCAAGCATCTAAAAATTTCCTTTAGAACCTACAATGCTAATGGGAAAGTGGGAGCATGTATTCTGCCTACTTTACAAGCGGCCACATGAAGAGTGAAGTTGGGGGGTTGGAATTAAAGGGGGGGCAAAGGCTCTGAGTAAATAAGGAAACTTACAGTGATGACATATTCAAAGCCATTTCTAAACAGGAAGTGTACTTTGCTGTAGGTAGTTTTTTGGAGGTTGCCTTTATACTCAAACAAAGTGATGTAATTCTTATGTATGCAAAATCATTAGTTATTTTCATAAGGCATATATCTAGTTAGTTATATTCTCATCCACCTGGTTCCCAAAGCAGATATATGTCCCCTCACCGTCCATGTGGACCTTGAAAAACTACCACGATTCTAAATGTTCTCCTGAAGCAATTCCTCTTAAAAACCCTCCAGGTTAAGGAAGAACTTGTCATGCTTAGATGTCCAGGAGAACAGAGCCAATGCCTGTGTCCCACAAATGATGCTTTCCATAGCTTTTATCTTTTTGTCTTTTGGAAAAAACACCTGCTCTGAGATGTCTTTCAACATTATGTTCTACCCTTTATTGCAAATAACTGCACACAAAGAGCTGTGAAAAGTATTTCAAATGTGTAATCTGCTTCTCAAGATCCCTTCCAATGCCATTCCCATTTTGGAATTGGTACAATTCATACCTACTGCCCAAGGAGGGATATGTCTGATACCCTAGGGCAGAGGTAGACATACATGAAGCTGCCATGCTAGTCACACTTGTGTGAAGCATGGGTACAAGAAAGGAAGTTGACATTTGGCCTTTCTCCTTTGTCCCAGGAGAGCGATGAGGGCAGGAGTACAGGAGGTAGTAAGGGACTGCTTGGTTAGCAACCTAACTTAGGTCAACTGGCAGCTGGCACAGAGGACCAGATGCCCCAAGTCAGCATTTGGTTGGAGTCCTGTCAGTTAGTGAGCATCTCTTCAGAAGAGAGGTAGAAATTAGTAAGTGGATCAATGAGTGAAGATGGAAGAAGGAAGAACTCCTCTTTTCTGCCCCACCCCTTCAGCCCTCAGATGCGTGTCTTTGTCTCCTCTTTGTATGCAGCTCCCACAAGATTCCAGAATTTCTTTAGGAAAACCAACAAAACCAAAGAACCCCCTTAGGCACCCCCCCAACAATAAAAGATACTTGAAAGTCCTGAGCTAAGGTGGAGTAGTAGGTGGAGTCTAAGGAATGAAATCTTGAGTGGGGGAGGGGAGGGAGGAAAGGACCTCTCAAGAAGGGACCCCACCGCACCTGCCTCAGGTCCAGAGCCTCTGGGAATGCGCTAACAAGTGCCTTTTAATTTATCAGTCAAAAACCAGTGACCAGCAGCTTCCCAGAGTCTTATTCTGTGTAATCTGCAACATGCAGGCCACTACTCCATAGTCTCGGCATTGCTGTGGCTCAAGTGGCAGGTGATGAAATCTTTCTTTTTAAATCTATAAATTCAGTGTAGAAACGGACAAGGCTGACAATGTACCACAAGCATCACAACTAGCAGTGGGACAAGTTTTTCAAACACCAATCTGGATTTCAGGGTCGTGTGCCTGATGGCAGCAGCCAGTGAGGAACGTGGCAAGGCCATGGTGACCGGCACAGATCTGCTGCAGCTCCTGTCCCTGCCAGCATCTAGGTGTGTGAGCATAACAGGCCACTTAGTCTCTCAGGGCCTCAGTGTTTCAACTTGTAAAATGAGAGAATGATTACAGCAGGGACCATTATAGTCATGAGAGGACAGGCTGTTTCCCTCCCTGCCCAGGAAAAGCACCTGTGATGCAGAATCACTTTCTCATTTTACAAGTTGAAAGCTGAGGACCTAAACGACCAAGCTCTCTGTTAAGGTTGCTTCTTCTGTGTAATCCCTCCTATTTCAATGTTCAACCCAAGCTTCCTGGGTCTTAAGAGCTCACCCTGCTTGCCAGCATTTGGGGCATCTCTTACCAATCACTGAGATACAAACCCTTCCTTCTGCATTAATAGAAACAGTCTTAATGGACCAGCAGGGTCTTTTAAAATCCAAGCATCATTTCCCCATGCTTTGAAAGGGGGAAATACAAACTGCATGATTATAGACGTCAGACTTTATAAGCACGCATTTATGAGCACAGGGTTTAGGTTTCTACTCAGTTGAATTAAAGCAGTAAACCTATGGCTGAGGTGATAGCTAAAAGGTGGCAACCCCCAGCCCTGAGAAAATGAAAACTCTACTCAAAATGAGTTTGGAACTTTGGTTGGATTAACTGAGATACTTCAGTAGGTTCAAACCCTCCATGTCTTTCCTTTCCCTGACGCTGAGCGGTCACTCCCAACTCATTGCCTGTAAATGTGGAATAAGCATGTGTTACCTTCTAGTGTTGGCGGGTCACTTAAGGACTCCTATCTTAATATCCTAATGGGGGAATAATGTTATGATTAAGTGATTAATTAGTGTAAATATCTAGAAGAGCAATAATTACCTTCGAAGACTCACAGGTGATATTTAGTCTCCAGAATGGACACAGCTTGTCACACTGGGGACACATTAGGATCTGGCCGCCGATATCAGGATCACAGACCTCTTTGCTACCAAAAGAGAGATAAAGCAAGTCAGAAACCTTAGTAAAAGGCTTTCATTTTCTAGTTGCCTCATAAAATCCAAGTCCATCCATCACAAGCAACAAAACTGAAGCCTACAAAATAGTATCACGGGTAACAGTTATTATTCTGATAAAGACTCACCATATAGAAGCTATAAAAAGCATACAGAATAGTAAGCGGTCTACTTCTTTTCTTCAAAAAAATATTTTTAACCTTTATTTTTATTTACATGGGCGGGTGTTTTGCCAGGCTGTATGTCTGTGCATGGTGTGCATAGAAGTCAGAGAGAACATTGGACTCCCTGGGACTGGAGTTATAGATGGTCATGAGCCAGCTGGGTGCTGGGAATAGAACCCAGATCATCTGGAAGAACAGTCAGTATTCTTAACCACCTAGGCACCTCTCCAGATACTAATATTTTAACACATTTTTTTATTTATCCTTTGAGAATTTCATACAATGCCCAAATGCGCCCTTAACTCAGGGATATGACAATGGTCCTCCTCCATAACCACTTTGGCTGGAGGTCTCTGAAGCACAGAGAGCCCAGAGAAGCAAGGCTATGAGAAGGGGGGGCTGTCTCCATGTACCTCCTAGGAACCTCCCATTCTCCACAAAACCCTCCAGTTGCTGGTTTTATTTGATATAGAAATTACACTTCTACTTCTCCTTCCATGAGCCTCAGACAGAAGCAACCTAACCCGTCCCCCACCCCAGAGCCTAATATTTGTCAAACATTCTGTCTGGCCTTAAATCCAGAGATAATAAGAACATATTTAGTAAAGCTTGTGGACACAAAATCAATATACAAAGTATACATAGGGAAAAAAAAGAGATTTTCTCCTTATCTACCTGTAACAATTGGGAAATAATTTTTTAAAAGCTATTTTTCAGTAGCTTTACAAGTAGAGTGTCGATGAATGAATCTAATCAAAATATGTATTAAAGATTTATATGAAAAAAAACTGTAAAACTTGGTTCAACATAGTGAACTATGATTTTCAGAATTGTTTACGGTAATGGAGATCAGTGTTTGTGTTAGATCACTTCCATTTGATCTACAAATCTCACCGTAGACAAGTTACTAATTAGGCATGGCTCGCACAGCTAAAACAACTAACCAATAGCACAAAATGAAACATGCAAAGATTTCTACCTATATCCAAAGATCTGGTCCCCAAATTAGGAAGAGCAGAATGGACAACTCAATTCATGACACTAACAAAAACATGAACATAAATAAACCCCAATCGTATCAACAAAATAAATTCCACTTAAGAAATAAGAATGACGACACTACAGAATAGGAAAACTAGATAGGGCTGGAGAGATGGTCTCCACAGTTAGAGTATATACCGCTCTTACAGAGGACCTGAGTGGGTTCCCAGCACCTACATAGGGCAGCTTACAACTGCCAACAACTCTAGTTCCAGGGGACCTGATGTCCTCTTTGGCCTTTGGGGCCCCTGTGTACACACACACACACACACACACACACACACACACACACACACTTGAAAATGAAAGGAGTCTTTTAAAAGAGAAAATAACAACAATAAAAGAATATTTCATTAATCTTAGGTTAAAGAGAAATGCTGTCAACATGGAAACAAAAAACACAGAGGAAGCTACTGATACATTCAGGATTTAATGAGAAGAGGCAAGAAGTTGTGGACTGCTCCTACAGGTGGTGCCATTTCAGATGGACCCTGCTGGAATGGGGCCAGCATTATCGTTGACTAGGTGACCTTGCAAATAACTCAGAGAAATGAGTGGGTTTGGGAAGCATGTCTGAGAGAGCTGAGTAAGCGCTTAGAAAACCTACTCATTCACAAAGTCAATGAGAACAATGACTAAAATGTTCAAACTCACCCTTTGCTGATCTCTGAAAGTTAACCGAATACTTGCAGTTGCCCGTGTGTGTGTGTGTGTGTGTGTGTGTGTGTGTGTGTGTGTGTATGTGTGTGTGTGTGTGTGTGTGTGTGTGTGTGTAAATGGGCTGGCCAATCTGAGAATACAGCTTTGTCATGCCCATCTCCCCAGGTTTGTGTCAGCTTTCAAATCCAGCAGCCATCCACCCACTACGAACAAGAGCACCCTCAAAGCCACCAAGTGGGGCAGGCAGTGTCTGTAGCTGCTCCAGGAACCCCTCCCCAGGCGTGGCTGTGTTTCACCTGTCCAGCAGCTCCCTGGGAAAGCTCCATGATGAGTTTTGTTGGTTTTTCACTTCATACCCAGAGCTGTGAAAAAGCCTAGTCTCCCAACTGTCCACTTTAAGAAACTCCAGGAATTACTTAGCATAGCACCTGCTTTAGTGATTGTAGATGTAAACTCAAAAACTTTAAAGGAAGAACTAGTGTGTGGTATCCTTCAACATATCTGTGAGACATGGAGGAGCATCATGCATGTGAGCTAGACAGTACATACAGGAAAGATCCCAGAGGACCTGGAGGCTAACCCTGGGCTTCTGCATAAGCTAGGAGGAAGTCTTAGGAGAACTGAACATGTCTGCTGGAATGTTAGACACATTCCCACTACACACCACACACAAAGAGGACATGGCCCAGCACCAAGGAAATCACTGCAAATCCAACTGCTGTCTAAAAATCCACTGAACACAGACTTTAGTGCCCATATAAGGCAGGTAACACAGACCATGGCATCAGTCCAGGAAAAGAGCAAGAGGAGCAGAGGCAGTGAAACAAACAGAGGTGGCAACAAACCCTCATGGAAAATCCGATTCCCAGGGTTCTTACGGTGTAATATTTAAAACGCCATGTTCTCAACCTTGCAAGTCGCAGGCACACCAGAAACCTGAAAAGTATAGCTCTAAAAGAAGAAGGGCTGACCGGGGGAGACCAGCACATTCTCTTTAGTAAAGTCTTTAAGCAAGTGTGCACACAGAACTAAAGCAATCATACCTAAGGAATTAAAGAGATGATGTAAGCCTGTCTCATGAAATGGGGAAGCAGGAAGTTAAAGAGAACTAAGTAGAAACTTATGCAAAGCACAATAACGTCAATGACAAAAATTCATAAAAGGCAACCTCTGCAGATAAGACACACAATGTTGTATCTGTTAAGATTTTATAGTCTGAGAAATGGGGGGGGGGGAAGGTGGCAGGAGAATTCATAGCCCACCCCTCTTTCACCTTTTAGCCTCTAAAGCTAGCACCATGTGAACAACACTGCTAACCCTGGTTGTCAATGGACGATGGACTCTGGCCCTCTTGAACTTCACTAGCAGCAGCTTGTGTTTACTATTGCTTTCTGGGAGCAGAGAACACCCTAGGTCAGAGAACACTGGAAGCTCAGTGGGCGGGTCTTGCCTTCCCTTTGTTCCAGTGCAGAGCAGCCCTCTCCTTGGTGCAGTCTCCCTAACAACTACAGCCTCTCTGCCAGCACATTCCTTAGCTATAACATTAAGCTGCCTGGGGCCCCTTTTCTTTCAAATCTCCTTTTGGGTCTCTGTCCCACTTGCTCTTTTTCATTATAAATCTGCATAAACCATTAATAATAACCATGCCACAGATTCAATATCATGACACCTTATTGCTTCTTCCAAAAAAAGAAAAATTACTCCATTAATTTTAATTTAGTGTCAGGCAAATTCTCAAGACATAGGCAGAAAGCAGCAAGATTCTTTGCCAAAATATTACTGGAACGGCGTCTAGCCCCATGGCTAATATTGTTCCCTCTCAAACTGGGCTTCCAAGTCCACACTGTTCTCAGCACTATTGCTTTCCAGGATCCGAATAGTATGGGCCTTTAGGCTCTGCTTACAGCACTTAACTGAAATAAAGCCACATAGTTTTGGACACAGGTAGTATATTCCTAAGACCCTTTCCATTTTCCATAACCTGTGTAAAGTGTCAGGTAATAGGTGACTGTCATGGTTACTTCATGAGAGGTTTATAAGCACCAGGGACTGAGGTGATGGTTTAATGGGTAACAGCATTTGCTCTGTGGGCATCTCATCATCAGCACCCATGTAATGATCCAAGCATCAGTGGGCATACCTATACTCTAATACTAGGGGATATCGACAGTAGGATCCCAAGAGCTCGATGGTGAGCCAACCTAGGAAAAAAGGTAAGCTCTGGTTCAGTGAGAGATGCTGTCTCAAGGTGATAAGACTGACAGCAGGAGAGGAAGACACAGGTTCTGTTCTGGCTCCTATGTGCTCACATACTCCTGTGCATGGACCACAGCCAACATTCAAAACACACATGCATGCACACACGCACACACTCTCTCTCTCATGCATGCACATACCACCCAATACAAACACATACAAATGAACCTTGCAAAAGTAAAGCCTGCTCAATCTAAAGATCAATTCTGAAATGCCACGGGGAGCAGAACAACGTTAGCCCAACAAAGAAGCCATAGACAGAGGGAGAAGGTACCAACATTCAGTCCTTGGCTGAAAATTCGTTTTCACAAAGAGAGAGAGAGGGGACTTCAAAGAGATATCTTGGGCACACAGGCTCTGCAGCCTGTCAGTGGATTGGGTAATGTGCCTATATATCAGGGTGACAAGCAAACATCCCACTTCAGAGCCATGATGACATGCTCAGGACTTGAAAAATGTCACCACCTCAGCCCTGAAGCCCAGAAACTGCAACCTGCCTGTTACACCTGGGCTGAGGCCAATCCATCAGTAGACAGTGTCTGGCACAGTGAACATCAAAAGCAGACACATGATAACATGACCCCAAATAGCACACAATAATCCAGCATGCCACAGGACCCAGGGACTCCCCTTGAATGAAGCTGGCATTCCACTGCCAGTATCAACTGCAAAGAGATTCTTGGGTATTTAGTTACCTTCTCCCAACATTTTGTAAAATTAAAAACACAGAACCACAACTGAGTTACTTAAGTTTCTGATCATGCAACTGTTCATATAATTTAAGAAAAAGTCATTTCTAAACTCAGAAAACCACGAGCTTTCTGTAACCCCAAGAATTCAGAGCTTTCCTTGGCTCAGGTCAGCAAGGATGTGAAGCATCCCTCAGAAGTTCAAGGGCAACCTTATCTCTTTTGTTTTCATAGAAAGAACTACTTTTAAAAAACCAGAGTTTTGCTTTTAAATTTGAGACAAAATGCTCCCATCAGAGGCTGTGTTGCCTTAGCTGTGAAAAATATTTCCATTTCATTCATTCCTGTTCTCAGAGCAAAGGAGAGAGATCATGCAATGAGCTTTTGTAATGAGTTCTCCTTTCCAAGACTGTCTAAAGCCCTGGGAACACCATCATGACTCATAAGGGTGGAAACAAGGGTTAAAGAGAGATTACCTCCAAGTGCAGTTATCCTGATTGAGATAGCCATAGAGGAAGCAGGCCACGCCCACCACAGCTGCAAGCAGGAGCATCTGAGTGTAGTAGCCTAGCCAAGCAAAGTAGATTCCAATCTTCTCTCCATAATACTTCCTGGAGGGAGAGAGGGAGGGAAGGAGAGAAGGTATTTTTAGAGGATCTTCATTGTGCAGCTTAATCCCAGTAAGGCTGTTTGTTTTTTAGGTAAAGGAGGCTTTTTACATAAAACCTTGATTCAGTTCACTGCTTCAGCATGCTGGCCTTCACAGTGGTGCCTTTAGTTTAACTATGAAACAGCAAGGCCGTGTCAGGCGCAGAAGCAGAGTGAATTTCAAAGTGACCAATGGAGGGAAAAGAGCTGCAGAGGGGCCAGATAGGGTGTCCCTTGTCCTTGGTGAAGAAGAGTAGCATGTTACAGTCTGGGAAAGACCTGTTAATATGTGGGAATCTTCAGCTACCTGCTGTTCCATACTCAAGAGAAAATGCAAGAAGCTCAGTACAAACCCAAATCTTACTGCTGATACAGTGGTCTTCCCATGTGTGAGGTACATTTCTGAGAAAACAGCTGGTACCTCTGACCCCAGGTAGTGCCACCCCACATACCAACTGTGACTTCTCTCTATACAAATATACCTATGGTACTTGAAGAGAAAACTAATAGGAAAATAGAAGTCATTCTTTTTCACATGTTTTTTTTTTTTTTTTTTTTTTTTCTGACCACAGGTAATAGAATGAATAAGATGCAGGCAAAAACGATTCCTGCCCGAGTGGCGAGTGAGGCCCAGGCGGCTGCTGTGCAGTGGGTTTCTACTTTGTTTCTGTATTGGTCTGTAGGGACCACAGGTTCGGTTTGGAGCTGAGCCAGTCTCCTCAGGCCTCACCTAGTAGGAACTCAGCTGTGAGTATAGCCTAGGTCCCTGGGAGGCTGGGCCAGCTTCTAGAAAAAAGGCAAGTTCAGCACCACAGGCTGCAAAGGAAGGCTAGGAGCCACAAGGCACCGTGTTAACAGAAGCACACAATACTGCATGTCCTTGCACAAAGCAGGCCACAACCCCGGACACGGATGATGTCACCGCAGCAAACGCACAGGACAGGGGTGAGCCTCAAGAACATCACAGTGCCCAAGCCACCAGCTTCTGAACTGTAACCTTTATGTTCCGAGAGACAAGCCCCGGTGCAGTCATGATTTCCTCTGAAAATGCTCTCACCTGACCATGCAATGAGCTACTAATTCTAATACTGACTCCTGTGCAACAAAGACTCCTAGGTTCCTGATGGGTAAACTTTAACCCCTGTGAGAGAAGTTTCTGAGAGAGAAGAAAGTCCTTTCATTCATGGTAACATCATCTAAGAGCTTCTTCTGCCCAGGTAAGTCATGCTGGCGCCCACATGAGATGACTCAGGACAGAGCTGGTCATGCCAGAAAGATCAATCAGGATTGTCAAGTCGGGGCTGTGAGCCAAGTGTGACTGCCGGACCTGCAGGGGTAGGAAGGGACTAGATTTTTTTTTTTTTTTTTTTTTTTTCAGTGCTAGGGATCAAATCCAGAGCAGGTCTTTCTTAGATAAATGCTCCACCACTGATCCAAGAGTAGACACTGGTGCTGTGGGACAACCTTTTTCTACACTATGAGTATATATTACTCTCATTTTGCTAGCAAAACGTTGATAGCTGGGCAGGAAGAGACTGAGTGAGAGAGGCAGACTAGGAGAATGCGGGGAAGAGGAAGAGTGGATTCAGAGAGTCACCGGCAAATGCAGAGACACAAGATGAGAATGACGTACTGAGAAAAGGTACCAAGCCCTGTGGCAAAGTGCAGATAGAGATATGGGTTAATTTGAGTGTAAGAGTTAGCTAGTAACAAGCCTGAGTTATCGCCAAGCATTTATAAGTACTATCCAGCCTCTGAGTGGGTTATTTGGGACCAGACAGTCTGGAGAAAAATGTCTGATCACACACTGGGGCACGTAAGTTATAATCTATCCACCATGGGCACATAAGAAAGCCTTGAGAAAACCCTGGGTATCACAGAGCTGGGTGAGCACCTCTGGCTGGCAATACTGTCTGAAAGCTGTCATGCACAGACACCACAAGGGACCCCTGAGTACTTCTCACTGGAATGCTCTCTCATGCTCACCTGATAAGGTCCAAAGGCTGCTTCTTATAGATGCTTCGAGGGTGAGCCCATTCCCTGTACAGGAGGTAACGTTCACTAGGACAGCTGGGGTCCTCCGACTCATAGTTAAATTTGCACTGAGAAACAGAAAGGAAGAAATGAGTGTCAAAGTCCTTGATGTACAAATCTGACCATTAAATATGGCACCAATGGCCATTTGTGGGAGCTGGGTCCGCTTGCTGGAAGCAACAGCTACACCATTTAATTCTTAGTGATTCTAAAACAAGGGTGATTAATTCTTAGTGATTCTAAAACAACACTACTGCCCTTGGGGGATATTTGGGAACAGAGATGGCAATGAGTACTTGGATAGTGATGCTAGCAGTGGTCACACCTAGGGAACAAGGTAGGGAGGTGGCTGGAGCTTCTTGGATGCTAATGTCAAGTGAGGTAGTCCTGATGAATGAGATAACTGGGCCACTCAAGACCTCAGATCCTCACAATCAAGGAATAGCTATCTGAAAGCACACCCCTTCTTGGATGCTGGGGGACCAGGACACTGTCTGGTTAGCAGCAGGCCACTGACACTGCCAATGCTGCCTCTCTCAGTTCAGCAGTTATATTGATGATGCACAGAAAACAAGTGGCAAAGACTATATCATGTCACTCATGCACAAAACCATATTACCACAGAGCCCAGCCTTGGTGAGAGCCCCCATCTTTGTTTGATTCCCCCTCACACCACACAGGATCACCTCAGGCTTGGAGACAGACAAGACCCAGGCCCTTGCAAATGTCAATGAATATTCTAGGACTGTGGTGTCCCACACTGACATCCAGAGAATGGTGCACAACTGTCTCTGAAGTTCAGAAGCTTCCATTGCTAGGGCACAAAAACAGGACAAACTTTCAGGCTGGGTGGCCACACAGGCTCTCCCTGGAGGCTCAGTTTTTGCCATCTTGCCCCTGCCGCCCTCTTTTTCCTTATCCGCGTGAGTCATTCCCTCTTTCCTTATCTGTGTGGGCAAACACTTGTTTGATGTTCTAGTTTTGTTTTGATACATGGCACACTTTAAGATAGTCTTCTCCCCCCAATGCACATAACACACGGTAGCAATGATCAAACTCAGGCCTTTGCTTTCTTTGGTTGTAGAGATTTAGATAAATTGGCCTGTAAATGCAACAAAGTAACAATGTGATTGATGTGGAACTTAATGCATTTCAGGGACAGGATATGGTAAATACTTTTAGATACATGACACCCTCCCACATATGTGGTCATGGGGGACTGGAGTGATCACGTTTAGAATTTTCATTCCATAAGAGATGCTAGGAGTTTAATAAATACTCCTGAAGCCAATGGGTCACTGTAGACTTTGAATAGTCCTTTCATATTGTCAATAATCTGGGGCTTTGTCACGGTGACATAAACCCTGATAAGCTCCATTTTAAAAGCCCTGGTATAGCCTGGAAATAATATTTCAAGGGGGTAAAGTCTATTTACAGAAACTAACATGTTTTCCTTACAAAACAAAGGCCCCTGCTTTTTTCTGGTGATGGCATCTGCCAGTAATATTTTATATAAATTTCATTAACTCTCAAAACAACTCTGTGAGGTAGGAACCATCACTACACCTTCCTTACTGATAAGGACACATGCAAGCAGAGACCATTGAGCCAGGGAGTGGAAGAGCGGGACTTTACTTCCAGACACACAGGCAGCCGCAGCCCTGACCTGTGAGATCTGTACTGCTGCCACATTGCCTGAGGGAGGGAACTGTTCTTTCTCCCTAGTCCAACCCAGCACCGTCTCTACACCTGAGGTCCATCAGTAAAGATGCTTTGGATCTTTCTTGCCCTGGATCAGCCTGTGATCCTTCGTGATATTTTCTTTGTCTTATAGAGAAAAGGACAGAGGGTCAAGAAATTGAGTCCTTCCCTGTAAGCACCAGAGTACTCACTGGACGTCTCTACTGTTGCCATCTGACTTACATCGTGCAGAGGGAACGCTGCCTTGTAGATTCCAGAACTGACCAGTCTATTGATCCCAAATTTGTTAACGTTGTTCATCACTTGGTATTTGACTCGAGAGAGGATGAAATAAACCTAAAAAGATTTTGAAACAGACCATGTGGTTTTTATGGTAGAACTAGCTAATGCAAATCATTTATTACTGTAGCAGAAATCTGTCCACACTGAAATAATACCAACAGTACTAATAAAAGTTTTTTTAAGTATATATTTTAAAATCAGAAATGCAATGACCCAACCAAGCAGCTAATTCTTCAATAGCAGGTTTCAAACCACACCAAAACAGAAACGGTATTCTGTCTAGACTTACAATGCGGCTTCTGGTGGCAGGGTTGAAGAAGGAATCTCTATCAAGGATATAAAAATCATTCATCCGGCTCTTCTCAAACGGGGCAGTGAAGAACTCCTGCTCTGGCTTGATGACACTCTCATTCACGCGGAGGACCTTGGTAAACCAGTTGAGGGTGCCAAAGGCTGAGCGGGTCTTCAGGTCATTGGGTTTCAGGGGGAGTTTGATGTGCATGATCTCAGCATAGGTGCACAGCACTTCCCAGGGTGCGTGTACTTTTACAAACACAAGCTTGTCATCAGAAACCTATGAAGGGACAACAGAAACCAAACAACTATGGACACAATTTTAAAGCACAGATGTTTCCCTACTGTGCTCCAGTAGGTTTTAAAATGAAAAAAAAAAAAAAAAATCCATGTCAAGAGGACACCAGCAAAAGGGAAGATAATATCAGATCTGCAAATGATTATACAATTTTTACTTAAAGATAATTCTTTAGTTTGAATTAAGAGACACAGAATTAGCGATTTTCTAAATAGTTGTTTTGTTTTTTTAAGTTGTATTTGTGTGTGCTTGTATGTGTGTGTATGAACTTGTGCAGGTGGCCCACAGCAACCAGAAGAGGCTGTCAGCTCCCTTGGAGCTGGAGCTACAGGCAGATGTCCTGAGAATAGGACTTTGGTCCTCTACAGGAGCAGCAAATTCCCCAAGACTCAAACTAATAATATTTTTAGTGAGAAAAGCAAACTTAATTTGCTATCACACAATCTATTAGTGACCCAGAATCACAACATTAGAATATCCATGGCAAGGCTGTTCCAATGAAAAAAATTTCTAAGCCTGGAAATGGGCGACTTAATCTATTTTATATCTACCCATTATACTATATGGCCACTGATGGCAACAAGTTACCCTCTCTGCTATAGATATGCTGTCTATGTAGCAAAGAGAAAAAACAAGGCACAAAACTGAAATGTTCTCCCTTTGAAAGAAAAAAGTATGGACATGGTGTATCCATTGTTCACATGTGCGGAGGGCAGAGGGTGACTCTCGGTCACCAGCACTCACCCATGCAATTCTGGGACTGAACTTGGGCCACTGGGCTTTTTGTGGCATGTGACTTTGTCCACCAAACCATCTATCTCACTGGCCTGTAGTACAGGCTTTATCTGTCTGCTCTACTCTCTGTGCAGTGTGGCTGAGGCTGCATGCCATGCCTCAACTCCAGGTGATGCACAAGCTCCCAACTACAGTGGTTCACAAAGCCTTTCAAATAAACTAACACTTACTGATCGTGTTGCTTCCAGCTGCAGGCCATGACAGATGAGGTTAGACTCATAGGCTTGTCTTTTCCTCTGAAAAAGAAACAGGAATATATGTTAGAATGCCTATTTTAGCAGAAAAGACAAGTTTTTTAAAAGAAAAATAATAGCCAAGTATTTGGGCCTTGAAGAGACATATTTGCTCATAATGGAGCAGAAGCAATGAGCCTGCTGGTGATATATAGAAGTTGGCCTCCAAGAGAATGCAAGAGAGTGTACTGGATTCCCTATGCTCTTCAGAAGGCCATGGGCTGGCCTGGTGGGGCTTTGGTCTTTTGGAGGTACATAAAAATTACTATGGTACAACCTCTGCTTCCCAAGAGCACACAAAAGGAACTTTTTGAGTTTCATTCACTGATGTTATTTTTTTCAGAGTTAAAGATTCCAGATTTTTAAACTTTTATTTTTATACTATATTTTCAAGTGATTCAACATCAGATGCATCTGGATTTCAACATATACCCACGCACACCCACACAATGAATGCATGCCTTAACTAAGTCAACACAGTAATGCAAACACTTTAACAAGATTCAAAGTATTTGCAATGTAATGTTCAGAAAGTCACAAATATGTTGAGGTCTACAAATTAGGGAACTGTCTGCTAATATACTCCTATCCCCTTGGTTACAAGACCAATTCAGAAGATGCTGGATACACTGGGTGTACTATCGAGTTCCATATGGTCAGACATCTGCAAAACAGAAGCCCAGGACATAAGGAAAGCATGCAGACATGTGGACTGCTGCTTGAATTCCTGCTCCAAGATCCCTTCAAGATGTACTATGAGGTATAAGCTGAAACAAACCGTCCTTGCCCAAGTTGCTTTTGTACTTGGTCTTGATCACAGCAATAAAAAGGAAACAAAACAATAAGGAAGCTGCTATTCATCTGTTCATACTTCAGGAGTGTTCTCTTTAGATTTTCATGAGAGTGTGAGTTAAGTGGCCTGATGCACATAAACCCAAATTTCCATTTCATTCTTTTAAAAAAATATTTTACTTAATTATTTTAAGAGTTCTCTATCTGCATGTATATCTTTATTCCAGAAGAGGGCATCACATCCCAGTATAGACAGTTGTGAGCCACCATGTGGTTGCTGGGAATGGAATTCAGGTCCTCTGAAACAACAGCCAGTGTTCTTAACTGCTAAACTATCTCTTCAGCCTCCTGAATTTCCATTTCTGATAATGGCCAGAGATGAGTTGAGGCAACCCTCTCACTGAAGGCAACTCAGAATGGCAGATGAGGTTTTTGTTTTTTGTTTTTAATCCTTTTAAAAATAATACCACCAGCCACCTGCTGCCAGACAGAGGTCAAGACAATCCAGGGGAATCAGTCAGCCACTTTTCCTAGGGAGTATCACTTCTGACTTCATACTGAGAGCAGCAGAGTTGGCCCTGAGCTGCTGTGCCCCAACACAGAAAGCTCCTACTAAATAGGATGTGGACACTCAGTATGTGGCTCACTCTGAGTCCACACGAAATCCCTGATAACATTGCGCAGAAACATCGGAAGCAAACATGGTTTCATTTGTACTCAATGACCATACAGTTCTAATAATAAGCAAATACCACTTTGCACACATTCGAGATAACTCAGCAGAGAGACACCCAAGCAAGTGCTAGAACTTCCTCAAAGAGAGCACCCGGCTGGCCTGAAGGCCCAGGGTGCTGTTTCCCACCTGCTGCCCAGTACTAGGCCCTCTGAGGCTGCCCTCACTGACTCTCCAAACAGTCTTTGGGTATTTTGATCTTTTATACTCTTGGACTGTCTTCTTTCCAGCTTGCCTTGGGTAGTAACTCAGTTAACTCTCAACTCCAAAGCATCTCACCATCTAGAGTCTCATGGTACTGCAGCCTTGTTCCCAACCACGTCTTTACCAGTAAAGAAAAACACTTGGATTTTGTGGAATTTGAATGAGAATGGCCCCCATAGGTGAATTTATATGACTGTCTGGTTCCCAGTTGATAGAACTATTTGGGAAGGGTTAGGAGGCGTGGCCTTGTTGGAGGAGGTGTCACCAAAGGTAGGTGGGCTTTGAGGTTTCAAAATGTCCACACCAGTACCAGTCCTGGTCTCAATCAGTCAGCCAGTCAGTCTTCCCATCTCTCTCGTGCGTGCGTGCGTGCGTGCGTGCGTGCGTGCGTGCGTGTGTGTGTGTGTGTGTGTGTGTGCAGATGGAAATTCTTTTTTTTTCTTATTTTATATATCAATCCCAGTTCCTTTTCCCTCTCTCCCTCCCATGCCTCCCAACCACCCTCCCATCCCACCCACCCCCACTCCACAGGGAGGGTGGTGCCCCCCAGGAGGGGTCAACAAAATCTGTCAAGTCATTTGGCCCTTCCTCCTGTCTTTAGGCTAAGGGAGTACCCCTCCATGGGGAATGTGCTCCCAAAGTCCTTTCGTGTACCAGGGATCATCCTGGTTTCATTGGCAGAGGTCCCTTAGACTGCCCAGGCCTTCTAACTGAGACCCATGTTCAGATGGAAATTCTTAACTGTACTGAAAAAACAACAGGCTGAAGTTGTTAAGATTCACAGTGAGAATGAATCCTCCATGACATTGTGAAAGGGAGAGGAATTCATGCTGGTTGACTGTCAAAGTTCACACTGCTGATGTTAAAGCCCCAGTACATGACACATTTAGTGGAAAAGCATTGCATGGTGAGTGTGTGTGTGCGTGCAGAATTTGGTATTTGGTGTGGTCTATGGCTTGAAATATCAACTGGGGTCTTGGAATGCATTTCACAGATGAGGGGAAAACACTATATTCAGTATGCATTTATTAATTTATGATATAAATATTTACTAAGGTCTTACTATTTTTCAGGGAACTTGCAAACTTCTCAAGACACAAGGATTTTTTCCATGTCTGTTTGGAGGATCTAGAGACATTACCCATGACTTCAGACTTTCTCCCATTTTAGGACTGAAACAGTTACATGCTTCAAGGCAAAACAACTGAAGCCTGCTGTTTTCTATGGACATTTCAGGTCACTGCAGATCTTGTATCTACTACAGCAGGCATGCACAGATGGTCTTTCTCCTAGTGCAGTAGTTCTCAACCTGTGGGTCACAATCCCTTTGGGGGTTACGCATCAGATACCCTACATATCAGATATTTCTGTTATGATTCATAACAGTAGCAACATTACAGTTATGAAATAGCACCACAACATGAGAAACTGTACTAAAGGGTTGCAGCAATAGGAAGATTGAGAATCAACTGTCCTAGAATCTTGTCAAGTTTAGCTCTACTCCAGACTCTGTGTCCTGAGTAGTTCTTTTGTTATTGTGGTGGTGGGCTGTTTTGCCAAGTTAACACAAATTAGTCTTATGAGAAGAGGAAACTCAATAGAGGAAATGGCTTTACCAGATTTCTTGTAGACAAGTCTGTCAGGCATTTTGTTGTTGTTGTTGTTGTTTTTCATTAATGATTGATATGGGATGGCTCAGCCCGTTGGGATTGATGACACCTCTGGCCTGGTGGCCCTGGGTTCTATAAGAAAGCAGGATGAGCAAGACATGAGGAGCAAGCCAGTAAGCAGCGCTCCTCCATGGCCTCTGCATCAGCTCCTGCCTCCATGTCCCTGCCCTGACCAGTGGTAGGGTGTGACCTGAGAGTTGTAAAATGAGATAAAACTTTTTGTTCCCAGGCTGCTGTTGGTCATGGTGGTTATCACAGCAACAGACTCCCCCACAAGACCCCTGAATTGGAAACCAAGTGCTATCATGCAAAGCAGAACTAACTCTGGGGTGATGAGGAGGATAGCAACTCCAGGGATTGATATACAAAGCGGTTGGTGACCCCAGTAGTCACAGGTATTTCAGTTAATGCTTTATCACATTTCCATCAGTGTGAAAAATTCCCAACAGAAATAAAGAAGGAAGACAAGTTACAGGCATGGCAGTACTCATGGTGGCAGGAGCGTGTAGCAGTTCACATGGGAATAGATAGGATGCACAGGCCAGAACCGAAGGTGAGCACAACCTTCAAGAGCCCTCCCTCCTGCTCCACCTCTGCCAGCAGCCCTAACTTATTAAGAGCTCCACAACCTTCTAATATAGCCCTAAAAGCTGAAGAGTATGAGCCAGGAGACATTTCAGAACCAAATCTAAGAGATGTAAAGACTCAGGCTCGAGCACTTAGGTCTTAGCAGTCAGCTAGAGGCGGGTCATCTCCTAGAGGTTAGGGAGTATTTTAATACTGGTGAGTGGCCCTGTTACAGATCCCCTGCTTCACTATAGTTAGGCCCATCATGATGCTCAGCTATCTCCTCTCTGGTCACCAACCCCCCCCCCAGGGAACTGTCCCATACTTCCAAGGTGCTCCACATGCTTGGCCCCCAACTAGCAGAACCCCATTCTCTGTGGGCTAGCTTCCTTCCTCATAGCGATAATGGTGGCCACTTACTGCACACCTACGGGTGTGCCCATTTAATTGCTGATACCATCTCTCTTCTTGGCATCTGAAATCCACCCGTTATTTCTCTCCTTGAGCTTACTGGGTAATTAAATGCCTTCTATTTCTTCACTGATCTTACCTGTCAGCCAAACTATCACTCCAAATGTTTCCCATTCTAAGACTATCAAATCTCCCATGGTCCTCTCTTTCTTTTCTTACCATTCCTGCCCTTGAGATGTTAGTGTTTTAATATCAGTAACTTAAGTACTTAATACAGGCCTATAAAATAGTATGCATACCATAAATGTCTGATGACTTAATAAATGGAGTGCATTGTATACTAATGGCTCCCTGTTACTCAGAAGCTGAGAACACTCCAGTGTAACAACTGGGCTCCTTCACCTTTAACCCTTTACTTGGGGGTATTGTAGGCTATGTGGAGAGGGACATTTTATCTTAGGGTATCCGAATGGCAGAGAACGCGGGGCTTCCAAAGCATGTGAGGTTCCCAGATACCTAATAATGAGGAGACAAAAGTGGTAAGGTTCTAAGAGCTAGGCTGTTCTCTTATCAAACACACCGAACAGACCACTCAGAGTGTCAGCTGTACCAACCATAGGCACTGC